AGTTTACTTAAATAATTTATATAAGAGTTAGTATTATATTATAAAAGTAGTAGATAGTACTTAATAGATATTTATTAAAAAGAATTAAGATTTTCTCGCCTATTTATTTACTTTCTATATACCCTAGGTTATATTATATATATATTTTATTAAACTATATAGAATTACTATAAGAGGTAATAGTAGAACTAGTTTTATTATTTCTTTATATATAACTTTTTTAATATTCTTTATTATATAAGTCTTTTGGGTAGTATAGTACTTATATTCTTTATTTTATAAGTCTTTTAAGATATTTCCTACATTTATATAAATAATATACTAGTAGTCCTAGGAAAGTAATAACTTAAACTTTTAAACCTAGTAGTAAGAATAAAAAGGGCCTAAGAAAGAAGAGGTTTAATTAGGATTATAGAAATATCTAATAAAGATCTTAATTCTAAGAGGGGGCTAGTATATATAAAAGAGCTATAATAGCTACTCTAATTTAGCTAGCCGGAAAATATAAAAAGGTTTAAATAAAGAGCTATTATTATAATAGGAATTAAAGGTAGGTAAATCTATTTAAATTAAGATTATAAAATTAATAATAATAGAGTATTTAGTAGTAATAAAAGGTAGATTCTATAAGCCTACTTAAGATTATAACTTTAAAAAAAAAGGGCTATATTTTAATAAATAATACTAAATATATAGTCTTAGATCTTTATAATATCCTAGCGTTATACTATAAGGTAGCCCGCTAGCGATTTATTAATATTATATATATATAGGCTATCGAAAACTATTTAATCTTAGGACTAATAACTCTATTAAAGGCTATCGAATACTATCTAATCTCTAGACTAATAACTTTATTAAAGGCTATTAAATATAATTTAATCTTACAACTAATAACTTTATTAAAGCTATTCTTAACTACCTTTATTAGGTTACTAGGTAATAAGTAAAAAGAGTAATTTATAGGAGAGAATACTTAATAAAGGGGTAAGGGTAGGTAATATTAAGGAGAGTTTTATAAAAGGTACTTATTACTTACTTTTTACTATAAATAGTATTTATAATTTACTATTAAATATAACGTGGTTTATCAGCGAGTCGATCATATCACCGAGTCGATCACTTTTTCTTGGCACAGAACTTTACACCTAAATAAATCAACCACAATATATTAAATTAATTATCGCTCTCTATATCTGACGAACTAGATATATCTATAACTTCTTGACAAGTTCGCGCGTTATGACCAGCTTTTCCACAAGTTCTACAGCGCCGCCTAGAAGGTTGCCCCTCCTTATAACCAACCCCCGCCTCACGCATGTCGCGTCGTACTTGCTCATCTACATCCTCCTGAGCTAACATATCCTGTACATCCTCTACTATAAGTGCCCCTCCTTGGCGGACACGAGTCTTTTTAGCCCTACGGCGTTTACTTAGGGCTTCATTTGCAGCGCGAAGGGTACGGACCTCAGCAGACAAAAGGGTCATCTCATGTGCCATTCGCTCTGTACCCTTTGCTAACGCAGCAACTGTTTGAAAAAGTGGAGTTGGCGAGCTTCCTTGATGACAGGCTATACGATTTCGTACAAGAGTTGATTGTGAAAGGGCTTCAGTTGGGTTGGAAGGGGTCTGGGACACCCAGGGGAGGGAGTTGGCACTACACGTCCGAGGGGGAGTTGGAGTCCGTAACCTTACGTCAAGCTTTGAAAGCACTGCTTGCGGGTTAAATGGTACTAGGCCAGCTCCGCGGAATCCAGACTGACAGTTTAGGACTGTCATTGTTTCCTTGTATGCTGCTGTAAAGGCTAGAAAGAACTCAACCTTTGTAATATGGTTGATATGGGCCTTGATAAACGTCTCAATCTGCCGACCATACGCTCGTTTTAACACACTATAGCACCCAACATCAAGTGGCTGGGTTAGATGGGATGAATGAGGAGGTAGTCCAAGAGTAATAATGTTGTGTTTCGTACAGTAGTCTTGGAACTCAGCCGATTCATGACTCTCGTGCCCATCCAAAACTAGTATTCGATACAGACCCTTTGCACGAGCTGTAGTGTGTTTATCAAAGTGCTTTAACCATTCCAGGCCTGTTTCATTATTTGTCCAACCATTGCTTGTCGGTTTCATAACCCAGTTAGGTGGGAGGCCGCCGTCGGTATACCAGTTGGAGAGATGGTTCTTGCCCTGAACTACCAAGAATGGAGGAATACTCCAGCCCTCCCCATTAATACAGGCAATTGCTGTAGCCCATTCCCGATTGCCTGGCTGAACTGCCTTGCCTCTACCACGTCGGTCTGCACGAGTAACAACCATTCTAGGACAAATAACACCCATCATAAAGCCTGTCTCGTCGAAGTTGTAGAAGTCGGAGTCTGTAACCCCATATTTCGCCCTCATATTCTCTACTAGCCGGAACCATGCGCCTAGCACGTCAGGATCTTCGCATAAGGCCCTCTGGAAGTCGTAAACGCGATTAAAACGCGTCTTAAGGTCTGGTTGTCGTTGTACGAATCGATGGGCCCAGAGCTTGCCGACGCGTCTTCCCCCCCGCGATTCAAGGATAAAATTAGCCATATCTTCTACACCAGCGAGCCGGGGCGCAAATCCTCTGGAATCCATATCCAGTATATACCGAATAATCACTTCCTCTTCTAACTCAGTCAACTTATGACAATTGGCTTGAGAATCTGGGCGGTAGGTTCGGCCAGCCATTCTGTCGGAAAGAGTCGTATATGGTACATTGTAGATCTTTGCCGCAGAGCGTTTGCTTAGTTTTTTGGACGACCGAATAGCCTCGATAGCTAGAGTAATTCGCGCTTCTTGAGTTTGAATTTCCATGGTAAATAGTTGAAGAAAACGTGTGTTGAAGTTTGAGGAGGTAGTGCCAAGGAAAAGTGATCGACTCGGTGATATGATCGACTCGCTGATAAACCACGTTATATTTATTATTAAAATTTTTATATATAAAAATACTTACCTTTAGTATATCTAAAATCCTAGGATAAACTTAAATATTTATTATCAATAGTTCTCTTACTATTAAATCTATAATATTCTTTTATAAATACTCTAGTAAATATATGCACTTTAGAAGGATAATTCTAGAATATTAAAGTACTTATACTTTAGTAAGTAAATATTACTCTTTTAAATATTAAATTAATTAAATTAACTCATTCTTTATATAATAACTTCTTTTATATACTAGGCGTAGAATAGAGCTTAGGGCTTTAAATCTATTATTTTTTAAAGGATTTATAATAGTAGTATAGTAGAACTAAGTAAGTAGAAGTTAAAAATTCTAAGAAAGTTTTAAAAAAAGAATTAGGAAATTATAAATAATAGAAGTAGTTATAGCTAATACTATAATATAGGAACTCAAAAATAAATCAGGTGTATATATAAATAAGTATTATCTTTAAAATAGGGGAGTTTAAGAGATTTTAATTTTTTAAAGTTCTTAGAGCACCTAAATCAGGTAGTCGGGAACACCTAATCTAGGTAGTAGAATACCTAGAACAGGTGCTCCCGTGCTCCGGATCATATTTGCCGTCCAAGAGTCCGTCCACGTATAGAGCCAAGTGCCTAGTAAACTCTAATCCTACGATATTGAGGCACAATATTTCTCCTACAGATAAACCTGGATAAAAGGATATTCGTGGGGCCAAGTTTCGTAAGGATATAACCGAGGTTATCCTTATATCTAGTATCCTTATATCCAGGTTAATCTGTACCAAAAGACACGACAAAAGGACTTTTTGCTCAGGACCAATAAGTCGATCTTAATATCGTTATACGAGCGCTTTATATACCCTATTCCTAGTATTTCACAGGCGTCTAGAGTCTAAGTTCCATCTAGTTAAAAAAACCTAGAGATATTCTATAATTTTAGAGAGTAAACGAAGTATTTACTTTCGATTACGCTACCTTATATTATTATGCGTTCACACATGGTTTTGTGCCCTATTAGGCTCTATTACGCTGAAGCTATAGCGTGTATGCCCTGAACGACTTTTCAGACTAACGATTTTGGCCAGTGGAGCACGAGAGCCACTTTTGCCCCACGGTCCTGTAGATTCGCCTAGTAGACCTTCTAAGATATAGAGATTGTGTCAAAATATTCTCGGAAAACAGGCCCTAAAAGAACTTTGAAAGATCGCTGGATATATGTCTAACTAATCCACCTATTCATACCGAGGTGGACTGCAATTATCCCAGAAGTTAAGCGTTCCACCGTGATGTACACACTATATGTTACTAGATAGATGAAAAAAGAGCTGTACTTGTTTAATCTATGCGCTATTATCATCAATTCCTCAAAAACCCACCTATTTCCTTCATAACAAAGTAATAACATTAAGCAAAACGCATAAATAAAAAACTGCCGATTGTTTTGTGATATATGATATGTTGGGGACGATAGTTATTATAAAACAATAACCAACGGTATTAAGGAGAGGGAAAAGAAGAGCTGGGGATAGAATTCAGAAGAAGTGAGGGGTGGTAGAAGATTATATGGTTCTTTCCTTCTAGGTGAGAACTCGTCTACCCTGACCTCTTGCAGGCACGCTATTACATTGAGAGAAGGAGCGGCTCAATAAAAGTACGTGTAGAGACTGCTTTTGAATTGAAGAAGACATTGTATGGCAGGAAAATGCGAAAACAGATACTGCTCGTAGTGCAATTACCCTCTCGTTCCAATCTGGCGCCGATTGAACCCCTTTCAAACCCAGCAGTTCCCTTCATACCCAAGAAGCGAAAAAGAGGTCACACCTAGGAAACCCGATATACTCAGTCTCCAGTACCAGACTACACGTTAAGTTGGCTACTGAAGAAGCTGTCTAATGTCTTCCAAAGATAATCAGAAGCCACGTTAGGTCGGGATTACACACACACATCAAGTCCACCAAGTCCCTCATGCAATCCGTCCAATCAACCAACAGCACAAAAAGAATGTTCAGATTTGAACAACGTGATACGTTCCTATCTCACTAATACTACACATAAGGCTGCAACGAAAGAAGAGGCTTTCTCGTGCCCCCTTCAGCTCCCCTCTATCAACTAGACAAAAGCAACCACACCAAGGTTGGATATCAACTTTTTCTTCCAAGAGACGCCCTTGTGTACAAAACGCCTCCAAATCAACGTATCCACTGAACTCGACGCTCCGATTCTTCGATGTTCCGTGAATCCACAAGACAATGAAAGAGAAGACAGTGATATGCGCACCCAAGAAAACACACTTGCATGTCATGAGAGTGAGCTGTGTCCAAGGAAAATAGGCAAATACAAACAAAATAAGAAGATACCCTGTATGCACTTCATGAACTGCATACTCTCGTATTCATTAGGCATAAAGCAGCCGTGACGGATGAATCTGGTTTCAGCCCATCACCCTCGGCGTGTCAAGGTTCTCGATTAGAAGTCCCAAAAATCGCCACCAGTAGCTTGTTGTCTACCTTGGGTCTTGCCAGTCTTGTATTTGCTGGGCTTGCTGACTTGGGCGGTTTCTTCTGGCTCACTGTCATCTCCGAATCCCCATTGTCGAGAAGTTCCTTTCTTCCCTCCCATTCCATTGCCAGCAGTCATAATACCTCCACCGCCAGTTGTTTCTCCGTCGCTTTGTCTACCTTGGGTCCTGCCAGTCTTGTATTTGCTGGGCTTGCTGGCTTGGGCGGTTTCTTCTGGCTCACTGTCATCTCCGAATCCCCATTGTCGAGAAGTTCCCTTCTTCCCTCCCATTCCATTGCCAGCAGTCATAATGCCTCCACCGCCGGTTGTTTCTCCGTCGCTTTCGTCTCCAAATCCCCATTGTCTAGTGGTTCCTTTCTTTCCGCCCATCCCATTTCCTCCAAGCGCAATTCCCACATGGGTATCATTGCGGTGGCTCATTGTATTACTGGCTTCTGACAATGGAGCCTTGCCGGAACTCGACTTCGACGCCTTTGACATAGCAATGTTCTCCTTTTGATTGGGCGATTGATCATATGTGTCCCAGTTGGCATCCATCATCTTGACAGCCTTTGCACGGTGGTCGGGTATACGCTCAGTTGTTGGTGTAGACACGGGAGATTCATCGGTCATGGCGAAATGAGGGTCGAAGTCTTTACGACGATCCTTGACATTTGCGAGTGTGTTGCCTTTGTCGAATGCAGCACCCCCAGCGGAACCCCCATTCTCATCATCGTACAAATTGTTCTTGTATATACCAAGTCCGTCATTCTGACCTTTTCCACGTGGGCGATTGATAGTGCGCTTAGCGCCAGCTGGAGTTCCATCATCAACGAATTCGAAATGCGGTTCCGCATCCTTTCGAGGCTTGCTGACCTTCTTAACTTTGACTGGGCTATCTTCAACTTCATCGTCGCTGTTTCCCCAGTGTCGGACATCATTAGTGCGAAGAACCTTGGTTGGAACAACCTTTTGTGGGGTGTTGAAGTCGTCAAAGTTCCATTGGCTGTTGTGCTTTTCAGACGCGACTCCCTTGAGTGGCTTCTGGTTTTTGTCTTCGACTGGCTCTTCGACGTCGCCATCGGTCATGTCAAAGTGCTCATATCTCTTAGGATTTGGGCGATAGAATTGCCGGTTTCCGCTCTGACCTTCAGCAACGAGTGGTGCAACGTCCTCCTCCTCAACAGTATCAACATCGAAAAGGCGCGAAGGGGCGTAATTCTTGTTTGCGCCGGACTTGACGTATGCCTTGGAAGGAGATTCGGACCGAGCATGGCTGGAGGATTTGGGTGGAGGAGATCCATCTTCGTCGCCTCCCACAAAAAGCTCACTATACTCGCGTGGTGGTGGCCTCGAAGATGATTTTGGAGCGATTACACTGTCTGCTTGGGGGTACTTTTCGCGGGGCGCAAAGAGAGCAAGAGAGGCATGGGGATCGCCGGTGACATTATTGGAGTTGCCTCGGGGTCTGATTGGCAATTCGTTGGCGTGGGAGGTACCTGTAGAAGTTTTGCCAGCAGATTTGGTACTGTTGACAATCAACTTAATCTGATCCTTTCCATCGCGAATTGGCCAATTGCGTCCGGACTTGCCAATGACATCAATGAGTTTGAGCAGTGAGCCTTGATCCCAGTTTTGTCGTACTTGTGTAATCTTTCGGTCGGCGTCGAATGTTACTATGTGAATCTGCGAAGCCCTAGTTAGCATGTCGTACAAATAGGCACATGAAGGAATTCGCAGGAGCATACCACGGGGAAGGTCACCGTGCGATCGGCGAGAAAGTTATCGTCGAGACCCGGCAGATAGGCGCCACCACCAGTAAGAAATTCAATCGTGGTGTGTACTTCTACGACGAGCGCATTGGAGGATTCGACGGCGTCGAGGACCTTCTCCTCCTTCTTCTTGAGCTCGTAGAGCTGTCCACTGAGGTGCTTGCCGATGGCGCCGGCCCCATTGACTGTCGTCAAAGTGGTAATGTAGTGGAGAGATGCATCAGTGGCCAATAGGGAGGCATCGTTGGTCGCCAGGAACTGCTGGTACACAGTTTGGAGAGTCATTGTGGTGTTGACTTTTTGGTTTTCGTTGGTTTCAGGAGCTACAGTACCTAGGTAGGTAGATAGGCAAATGAGAAAAGAGGGGCCAGCGCTGCAGCTGCGATGCGAGGTGGTGGATGCGATGCAATGCAAGAATGAGAATGAGAATGAGAATGGGCGAGTGTCGCGGCTTGCGGCTTGCAGACGTGTGCTAGAAGTAAATGGATGTTGGATCCAAAAATGAGGGGGTGGAGAGTGCGTGAAAATCGACCAGCGTGGATGGAAGAGGAAGGGAGGGTGGGAAGAGTGGTTGTGTTTGTATTTGTGTTGTGGTGTTGCGTGTTGACAGCTTGAGCTTTGTTTGCAGTCGCGCTTTCTGTGCCTGAGGTGTGCTGATTGATGCTTCGCCTTTGCTAGCGCTCAAGCGCGTGAGATCTAGCGACAAGGTGTTTACTTTAGCCAATTGTATCCTCTATCGTCGAGCAGCCAATTTCTTCCGTGCAATCTAATGTTATGCGTTAAGATTCGAACTAATTGTACAGAGGCTCCTCGTGTACGAAATCATCCGCCGATTTTGTACCAGACACCTAGTACGGCATTGGCTACAACAAATGCAAAGAAAATCGCAAAAATATCAAATAAATCCCAGCCAACTCTCCAGAAGCTAATTAACCTTGGTGTTGATGCTTGCAGCTTTTAGATCCGTTGTTGTGGTTTTATTGTGAGTAGTAATAACAGTAGCTGGTAGACTGAAATCGGCGGATCTTTTCGTACACGAGGAGAGAGGACATAATCATGATTTACATTGCATAAGTTGCGCTGCATCTGCGGGGCGCGGCTTAACGAGGGGCTGATATTCGATGTTTATTTGTTATTCAATTGCGAATCCCCCGCTCTTCTCTTACCATGTGCATGCGGATTTTGGGGAGTATCAATAATTGGCTACAAGTTCTGTGACCGGAAGTAGTACGAATGCCATATTCCCACATCGCTGGTCTCTTTGCCTGAAGAGTCGGACTCTCGTAGCAGACAAACAGCGCAGTAAATAGTGAATAGCGCTCTCGTTCTCCTAATGATGTGCTAGGAAGCCCTTGTGTATTTTAATGGTCCAGACCAATTGAAACGCAACCTGGAATATTTGAACGGCTCTCAAGTAATTGGAATTATCCAGCCAGAAAATGTAGGTAAATTGGTGAAAAGATTTCGAAAAGAGGCAGCCTTCTACTACGGGTTTCAGAGTTGCCAGGGTGATACTGTAAACTTGAACTAACGCCTGACTAAAGGCGGTGATACTACTGTACTGTAGTACGTACAGTGATACCCGCAACTTGCAACAAACAACAACAACTTCCCGCAAGCTCTGACCTTGACAGATTTGGACATCTTTTCTACCAGGTCTAACCCCACAGTTTCTCTCAATCAGAGCTTATTAACTCCTGAATAGCAGCCCGCTTCACTCCTTCAGGTGGCTGCAGAGAGTCACGTGCATCGATTCAAGGATTTTCTTTACTCTTGCTAGTCCTAAGCGAAATTTTCATCCCATCTTGAGTACTGTACTCGTAGGCTACTTTATCCCAAATCCATCATCCCAAAATTAGTCTTCCGCGTACTTGAAAATCATGTTGGGACCATCTCCTTCGTCCCAAGCATATTGAACGTCAAAAATCAGTGGCGTCACAGTACACGGGAATAAGCGTCGTTATGCCTGGGAGGCTGGGACGAAGTAGGAGTATTTTTGTCCAAAACCAGACGCTTGTTACCCCACAACTGAGGCACATCACGATTCGCATCTTGTTTCGCTTGTCCAAGTTCGCCTGAAATGCGATGTTTTGTAAGTGAAGGAAACTAGTCAAGAAACAGATGCAGAACGTCACCTTATTTAGACGCAATTGCTTTATAGTTTTTCTTCTGCTTATCTTCTCCTTTTTCTTGTGGGAACCTTCGAAATACGAGAAACTCTTACTGCTTACCCTCCTGGTGCTTGGAAATGTTTGTCGTTTACTTCGTATATGAAGTGTTTCGAAACATTCTATTGGGTACACGGACCGATTTACTTCGTCCTGAGCGAAATGCCCGACTACAAGAAGTACGCCATTAATCGCCTCTTGGCATAAGCTACCACTTTTTACAGACTTATTGTGGAGTAGAGTATACGAGTGTTGCAAGTTCTGTTCTACGGTTCTAACAAAATGTGAATAACCTTGATAAATACAGAGGTAGAAGCTTAGGAATCACGTATTAGATAAGTTGTTTAAAAAGAAACAGCGTATACAACAGGAACTTAACTAGAAAACCACATATCCGGCTCAAGCTGGGGGCTTCATTTGTATTTCTAAGTATACCCTTTCGTTCAAGAGAAAATAGAATGTAGCTAATTAACTCTCGTAATTTCCAACTTTAGCCCTCTCTCTCGTACTTAGACAAAGTAATAATAAAGTATAGACCTATAAGACGTACTTTTCAAAACTTTGGCCAAACCTATAAAGGCGCGACAAAATTAATCGAAGGCTATCAAAGTCGCACTGCGTAAAGAGACCGGACAGCTCGTACCTCCGCCTCGCTCGTATTGGATTTGTTACAGAAATGGTATAACCCTACAGCATAGCTTTAGAAGCCAATGGGATTATTTAGTTCACGTCGGAGTATATTAAAATTGAACGAGGGGGACGGGGAGGTGGGGGGCGACCCGAGCGACCCGAACTGTTCGCTCTCTTTACAATCAATACGCCTGGGACGAAATGTAATCAGAATACCCCCCCCTTTTGGTTCAAAAGATTATTTATTATACATGCTGCCACCAAAAAAAAATCATCTTTAGTACGGAGTACTTCGTCCCAGGCATAACAAAGATTAAACCCTAGTGGTTTTACATGGGAATCAGTGAAATCCAGGGCAAAAACGCCATACTTCGTAAAATTTTGACGTTTGTTCCGAGTACTCCGTACGCAAAGTAACTCCTAGGCAGCTCGGGGACTAAGCATGGCACGTGCATAGTAAAAATCCGATGAAGTAAAATCCGAATGACAGGTTTGATCGTCCGATTGCCAATCTATCTCGAGCAAATCAGCTTACAGGGAAGCAATCATGGGCCAAACACCCACCAATCAACAACTAATTGAGTTTCGCTTATAGCCAAGTTTGTGGGGAGAGGGATCCTTATCTCCGCTATTCAAGATTTTCTCCTAATTCAAGGCACTGTGGGCACACATGCGCGTGGATCCCCAAATGCATTCCATCCAAGCACTCTCCGTAATTTCTCTACACAGACCAGCTTGAAACAATATAGCTATAACTCTACTACTATTATTACTTGGTGAAATTGGCATGTTTCAATCTCACTGATGGGGGTATATCTTCCTGGAGTCCCAGAAAATGGGTTTTGTCTCTTCATCCGTTTTCATTCTCTCTCTTTTGGAAAGCCGGTTTAGCAGTTATCCCAGTGATACTTTCCCTCACATTCTCTAAAGATCTCCATCTCAAAAACTTCTCAAAATGCAGGCCATCACTCTTTTACTGGCTGCTGGTACAGCCGTCAAGGCTTATACCATTGTTGAAGCAGATCTTTTCATGGTCAAGAATATCGATCCTGTTGTCATACCCGGACAATATAAAAGTCATCTACACAGTTTCTTCGGTGGTGATGCGGTAACCATCAACACAAAAACCTCGAAGGAGTTACAGGCTGGGTGTACTTCTGCTCATAACCCAAACGACTTTTCATCTTATTGTAAGCTTTCTCCAAATTCCATGTCGTAGTTTTGTCACTAATATTCGTTCTTCCAGGGGTACCAACACTCTTCGCTCTTGATGGAGACAAACGCACAAACGTTCCATTCAGCAGATTCAGCGCATACTACGTTTCAATCGAGAACGCTGAAATCGCCATCCCACAGGACTACAAAGCAGTAGTCGGTAACTCAAAGGCAACGTCACAAGCAGATGTCGAGCCCTTAGCAGGAATAGAGTGGTTCTGTGAAGGCGACGCGGGAGAAACAAAGGACAAGGCCGCTTTCCCTTCCAAAACATGTTCCACCCATCTCCAGACCCTCCTTCTTTTCCATGATTGTGTCAATCCTGCCACTCTCGAATCAGCCTACTCCGGACGTCATAACGGGGTCGACGGCAACCGATGTCCCGCAAACATGAAGAGAATGCCTCAACTCCGATTCTCCATCCGATACGACCTTCGCAAAACCCTTTCCAATGGCTGGTCCGGACCACCGCCTCTGGAACTTGCTTGCGGACCTTCCTACTGTACTCATGGCGATTTCATCAATGGATGGCTCCCAGAGGCTGCAGAGAACATGTTGACAGCCAATTCCAAGAGAGACTTTCAGGAGGTCGTTGGTCCCAAAGGAGGTGATGCTGGCAAAGCTGTTTGTAAAGGAAAGGATGCAGATCCTTCCAATGGAACCTCAGACTATGCTACATCTCTCAAGATGATGGCCAAGAGAGCTTTGGGACGATATGATAGACGGGTTTAAATAATGAAGGGTTATGGGGTTTATTTACGACATATTTCCGTACGACGATTCTTTTCTTGTAACACACCTTTTCAAACAAAACATATCCGTTTGGTTTCATGTATATAGTTATGAGTTTATGACGAGGCGAGGATACCTTTGAGAGTTACTCCACACTTATCGACCACCTAGTGCATGAAGTTGAATTTCCTTGGAGTGTTCGAGCTAACGATCCTGTCAGCATCTTCAAGTACCACTTGCTCGTACTGCTTTTCGGCGCCCGCCGGCCCCGTGCTCTCATCGCTAACCTGACCTCCCCTGACAGCATTTTATGAGGGGTAGCCTGGCTCGCCTGGAATCGTCGAAACATGACATCCGCAGTCGCTTGGTTACCCCCGGAACTATCGGGTACTTTTCAGTCTGATCAGTCAGCGGGGTGTGTCCTTCGGGGCTGGGTAGCATGGTGGAGCGAACAATATGATACCATACCCAACACTTCACCGCAACCTCTGCCTGAAGGAGAGCTTGACGAGGAAACATTGAAACAATTCCGAAGAGATAGCCGGCGGGTATAAACTTACAAAACACAAGCACCTTGATACCTTTATGTACACTCTCTGCCTACTAGGATTGTTTCAATTCCCTTCCCTTCCTTAGCCGCAGTATACCTCAGTCACGTTTCCTTGCTCTCTCCAACCTGAACCGACTTCGACTTCGCCTCGCGCTGGATCAAATTGGGGCATGACCGTCTTCCTTTCTATGCGCCCTTCCATTCATTCCTCCGTCTGAAGTTTTGCCCATTCCTTTCTTCGCACTCAATTTCTTGTGGTCTCATGATTATTCCCTCTTATCGCGCTTTCGTACCTAGTCACCGTCGCAGTCGCAGTCGCAGTCGCAGTCGGCGATGCTGGCGTGTTGGTGCTGCGGGGTGTTCAAGCGTGGTGACTGGCGGGATGAGCCTTCGAATCATCGGAGCTGTTTGCTGCCACCCATGCACTTGATGGCTTCCAGTACATAATTGCTGCAGTTGTTGTTCTCACTCGTGGCCACTCGCAGGCCGTCAACAGTTTCAGTTTCCTGGATCGGCCTATCATCCCACCTTGATCCGTCAGCTATTTATGCCACTGCCAACTAATATCAACTCCGTAAATATGATCCGATTGAGCCTCATCCACGGTGCTGCCAATTACCATTTATCAGCGCGTCCTGCTGTCTCACCCAACATAAGAATTTCTTGCTACACATGTGAAGCCACCGTGTTGACTTTGCTCCCAAACTCTATTGGAGTCTTAGAGTCAAAAGTCAAGTGGTGAATTCTGTCAAGTACAGTACAGTAGCACAACCGTTGGTTCAAATGTGACCTCACTCGCTGTCTTGTCAACCCTTCTTCAACGATCACCTCATCTTCTACCAAAACGACAGTCAAATCCACCATGGCCTCTATCGTGGCCCTCATTGGCAACGCAGCCGATAACATCAAGTCCACCCTCACCACTCAAGAGTTTGGATCCGACTATGAGTTGCTATGCACAGAGCTTTCACTCCAGTTAATTAGGTTCCGTCTATGGGGAGAATCGGTAACATACACCCGGCGTCCATTCTTCATAGAAAATCCTAACAAGAACTGTACAGGTTGGCATTCGTATGGACGACCCAGATTACTCCCGAACTCACATTTTCACCCGACCTGAGATTGAAGATGTTATAGCTCAAACCATCACGAGCATAGCTCATCTCTTAGCTGAGATTGAGGAACTCCGCCAGAAGTACGATCTCAAGTCCCGGACAAGCTCAAGAAAAGATTCTTTTTCACTCCAAGCTTCCAAATCTCTCACGTCATCATGTCCATCATCTATCGTCGCTCTACGACAACGGATGGAAGACAATCAAAAGCAAAAGTCCTTCCTCAACTTAGCGAAATGGGTATGCTCCGATGCAAAGATGTTCGAAGAGAAGGTTTCCAAGTTAAAAAACCTCATGGGTGGCCTAGAGGGTATTTCCAAATCTGTCGAAACCACGAGTATTGATGTATTCCGACCTCCAAGTTACACAGCAGGTGCATCAGGCGATATGCCACCACCTTACACAGACACGGAGCCAAGACAGCGAACACGAACTCCGAGGATAAACACAGACATCCAATCAGGACACTCGCGTCCTGTGTCGGTATTTAGTCCTCTTTACATAGGCGAGTTCTCGAAGCATTACATTGCATTTAAACACGTTCTCGCAGCATCATCCATCAATCCCATCGAACTCCACTCTAGAGCTCGAGATAAGCTCACCCGGCTATCCGACATTCAGTTCAAGGAGCTCAGAACAGATGCGTATGACGACCTCATCCGGAGACAAAAGTGTCATGATGCTACAGGATATCTACCAGAGGACCAACGGTACCACCCAAAACGTAACGTAGCAAGGAAAAGGCTTTCGACCCTCCCCAACAACCGATTCCTAGATCTGGTCAACGACCTAGTAGCAGAGATCGAACACAGACTCGGCCCAGGAGCAGAACTGAGATCCTCAACGGGAACTCTTTTCACCATTCCCTCACTCGCTAGCCCACTTAAGTCAAGTCCCATCAATATCTCCCCACCATCCAAATACGCTACCGCGTCGTCTCCAAACCCTCTTCGTCTTACCCAACTATCCGCGACCTCTCAATCACTAGCCCCAAAGCAAACTTACATTCCTCTGACCCCTCTCGTCCCTTCCCCTTCCGCCCACCCCTCATCCATCTCCTCAGAGACCACAACCTTCCAATCCTTCCGTGTCTCGCCCTCTGCAACGACATCCGTACTTCTCCCAGCCGCGATGGAGAAATACGGTATCAGTGCTCCTTGGCAAGACTACAGTCTTTGGATCATGTACGGTCCTTCCCATAGTTTGGAAATGTGCTTGGAATTGGATGACCGCCCGCTGTCTATCTTTAAGAGGTTGGAGAGGGATGGAGAGGGCCCTATGTTTATGTTGAGAAAGAATACGTGATTTCTTGCAGTCGTGGATGGGGATTGGTACTTGCGAAATCTGGACTGTCGCTTTTGTTTGCGAGGATCTTACATGAGAGTCTACGGATGGTTATATCAAGATCGGACTTATGAAATCTGGGAAGCTCAGTGGCGTTGGGAATCTGTGGGATGTTTTGTGATATCATGGACCTTCTTCTGGACAGGAGGGGTGTTGATCGCCTAGCTACATCCTTTGAATAGCGTTGTTTTCTTGAGGGCTCTCCGTGTCTCCTGGGCAGGAATAGCAGATGTCTATTTTCAGGTAGTAATCCAGCCTTTACTTTGTAAAACCTGGGGTTTTGTAGAATCAACAATGTTATTGTAGATTGCCCAAAACGGTATTAGGGATGGTTATTCAGTTCTAGAAAAAACCGAGTTGATATCTGGATAAATTACTATAACCTATCTGGTGCTTTTCTTAAAGATAGACTACGGGTACATTCATTCGCAAAGATCATGTGATTCGATTCATACCCCCTTTCTAAGTGAAGTCTTTACTTAGAATATTCTAACATTTCTTATAACAGGATGAATTATATTTTCTCCGTTTCCTAATTAACAGTAAAGTCTTTACATATATTAAAAAGCTTACTATATTACTAGAGTAATACTACTTTCTTTAATAGGCTATACTTCTATTACACTCATTTTAATTGTACTCCATGGGTAATAAGTATTCGGAGACTCGTTTTTGTAGGGGCTGGAGGGGGGAGGGAGGGGTTTGAAACGTCTAACTATCTTACTAATGCAGTGGGAAAATAGAGGAGAGGTAAAGATAGATGTATCATACATTTATATGGTACATGTATCTAAGCGAAAAGGAAGACTGGGCTTCTAGATTAAATGAATGATTAAGAGGTATCCGTCGTCTTAGCTTATAGTACACATTTGTTTTTTATTATGCAAGTATTAATAATGAAAATAAAGGTAGGTTATATTCGATTTCCTCTTGTTAATCAAAGTCTTGATGTTTTACCTGAAATGTATGATGAAGCAATCACCACATCGCTTCTACTAGTATTTCTCCTTGTACTCGTAGTCGGTATATAACCTGTTACGAACAGAGGAATTATATGTATATCTACACCCATTGCTCACTAAAAGTACGAAGATAAACCCAGAAAAAACATACAAGTACTAATAAGTAAACTCGCGGTGGACAGAAAAAGTGGCGGTTCATCCATGGGTCCGTGCACAATAAGCGATGACCTTCCATATACAAATATACCCCCTTGAGTACGCTCAAAAAACGCTCAAAATGCCTATAATAATCAGAAGCTCACGAATTATATTAGAAAGGAAGGAAAGATAACTAGGTATCAAAAACATCTTTACGCAATTGAAAAGTGAGTGCTTTTGCTTCAGAGTAATTATAACGACTTTCATTAAAAGTTGTGCACGGACCAGGGTGTGTTCCGCCACTTATTCTGTCCACCGCGTGGTAAAGAACTATAGTTGAAAGGGTGTAGCTCTAGCTACCATAATCTCGCTTAGTATCTGTATAAATAAGCGAGTTAGAAAAGAGGTAGTAGAGTCCTGTCAACACAGTATAATTCTCTTCACAACAATGTTCTCTTTCAATATGCCACGCAGGGTACATGGTGAGATACGAGATCATGTAAGCCTTTTAGCTTGTACTTAAATAGACTTGTATTAATCTTCATCGAATTATAAAGAGAAAGGAAATAGTATGTATACTGTCCAACTCCAGAACCTCCCTCATAGCTAAAAGACACATTCTCCTGAAAGCCTCTACTCTACTCATACATTTTCTTCAAACAATCCAAGTACACCTCCCAGAACCCGCTCATCACCAAACCACCACAAAAACAACCCCCATCCCCAACTCTCAAATCCCAAATCTCAACTCTCCAATCCCCCTAAACTCTCCACCTACCCACCCCCTTCCCCCCACCAACTCTCCACCCAGACCCCCTCGGTCTCCCTAGCCCTAACCCAACAACCCCAGCCGTCCCCTCAGTACCCATCCCCCCATCCCCACCAAGCTACCTCACAACCACACCCCTAACCCCCTCTTCCAACGGACACCCTCCCTCCAACCAACGCATCAACACCTCCCTCGCACTCTTCGACAACGCCTCCGCGACACCACCTAGCGCACATAGTCTGAGCGAGGAGAGGATGTTGGGATCGACGCTTGGTTCTTGTGGTGTTTGGGATTGTTGTGATTGGGATTGCGGTGATTGGGATCGTGGTGATTGGTTTTCGATCCAGGATGTGAGGGGTTGAGCGGAGGAGGGGGGGATGATCATGGATGGCGATAGGGAGGAGGAAGAATGGTGGTCCTTGATCCATTGGTTTAGGTAGGTTATTGGTTCGCTTCCTCCACCGCTTAGAATACTCATCAGGGAATCGCGCGTAGGAGGGGGGAATGGAATATCCCATTCCACTCTCTCCAACACTCCCCCCACCCACACCCACACCCGCACCCGTCTCCCCAGCATTCGAACCACCCAAACACCACCTCCCAAGCACCTCACAAACCCCGGGATCCACAGTACATATCACCGTCTCNGTCTCCCCAGCATTCGAACCACCCAAACACCACCTCCCAAGCACCTCACAAACCCCGGGATCCACAGTACATATCACCGTCTCCCCAGCTCCATGCAAAAACTCCGCCAACGCCTCCACAAGCGGGATCTCAAGCAGCGTGGCGGAGACACCTGCCAGCACGGCTTCGAGGACGAGTGTGAGGTCGGTGGTTAGTAGCGGTCCGAGGGTGTGTTGTGGATCGAGAGGGAGGATTGGTGTGATGGGGTTTGGGGGGAGGGTTGGTGGTGTGGGTGCTTGGGGGAGGGAGAGTGTGAGTGTGAGTGTGAGGGGTAAGAGGAGGAGGAGGGGGGTGGTTTTGTGCATTTTGTTTGGTGGGTGGGTGGGTGTGTTCTGGGTTTGTGTTTTCGGTGAGGTGTTTGGGTTGTTGTGGGTGATAGAGGAGATGGAGATGGAGTTGGGATGGATGGAGTTATATAGAGGCTGTTCAAAATTTCTGTGATATCAGAGCAACGAAGCAATCCTGTAAGGCACGTTGAGACTCGCATACGAAAGTGCAGACCATCCTAACTTCTCAGAGAACATGACTTATTTCCTAATACCTTAAGGTGTAGATCTCTCTCGAAAATGTGGCATTCTGTACCTAAGGGGCTATTTGTTTGTAGAATTCCAGTTGAAGTGCGCACTGCGCAATTGAATTATAAAGATCGTCCCGAGAGGGACAAGATGGGAATGAAAGATGAGTGGTAGGCGGAGATGGATGTAGGATTATTGATCTGTCCCTGACTTCAAATAGAGAGGGCAATCAGAGTCCTCGGGAGTACTTCTCCCAGGGCGCCACTAGCGAGACATTTCCTCCTCCCTTTCAAAGAATAACCGAGACACCCGAATCGCCACCAAGGAAACGAAGCACCTCTCACATAACATATCCCTGCCCAAGTAATGATCAGGGGTATATCTTCAATTACTACAATGCTTTTCCACAAATATCCCCACCATTTTTAATACATTAGAGAGGTTCTGGCGCCGAAAAATAATAATAGTGATAAGGTTTATTAGCGTATGGATAATGAGGCTTACTATTTATCGAGAGGTTCTGGGGGCCTTTTATAGTAAAGAAATAATAGCGAATAAGGTGTACGCAGGGACGGTTTCTAATGCAAATACGATTCCGGTGGATCTGATGCGTAGTCCAAAGCTTGTATCCCTCCACCTAGGCTCAATTGAGGACTGAAAAGTGGGGGTTTCACTGTTATTTCGTGGATAAACTTCGAATAGTACTATTTACTCTTGAGCCTCTAAATAAACTTCGAATAGTGGCGACGTGTTTTGCAGGAATATGGTCAGATATCGCTCGGATATTGTCCACTTCTTGGCATAACCTTACCACTGTTTTTGCCACTGTTTTTCGGCACCAGAACCTCTCTATTCAATACAAATCCCCTAATCGTCATTCTCCCCCATATCAACCGCCTTCCCCTTTCTATCCACAACGACCCTCTCTTTCCCCTTCCCTTTCCCCTTTCCATTCGGCGTCCCATTAACAGATCCATCTCCATTCTCTTTCGGCTCATCAGCAACCTTCTCAAACATAGCCCGAACCTTCTGATAATGTTCCAACTCCCCAAAGCTAACACTAGGAACCAGCTCGCGCTCCGCATTTATAAAGTCCTCTTCGGTAACTACAACATCGACATCCTCCTTTGTCGCGTAATGATCGAAGAAATACGCGGTGGAAATTTTAGGTTGGTTCCTCCCGGCGTTTGCGTTGATACCCGCAATCTTAGCGTCAACGAGAGAGGCTTGTCTAGTGACTGCTTTGAGCATTGCGTCGGAGCAGAGGGCGTAAAAGTCTGCTCCGGTGTAGGTATATGGGAGACGGGAAGCGACGCGTTGGAGAGAGAGTTGAGGGTGGAGTGTAAACCTATCGTTTTATTAGTCCGTGAATCTCAAACGACTTGGTAAAAAAGGCACGTACTTTCTAGTCAAAGCCTCCATAATAGTCAACTGCTTCTCATGCGTATCACTGACTCCCAAATAAAGCATCTTGTCAAACCGACCCGGTCTCAATAATGCGGCGTCTAGCAGATCAGGTCTGTTCGTCGCACCAATCACGAAAACGCCACCTCCGCCATCTTCTCCATCAGACATACCGTCCAATTCTGCCAAAAGTTGAGATACAATGCGATCCATAACACCACCGCTATCACCTTGGTTACCTCTTTTAGGGGCCACCGAGTCCAATTCGTCAAAAAACACTACACAGGGTCGCGCATCTCTTGCTCTTTGGAACACTCGTCGCACATTGGCCTCGGACTCACCAATATACATATTCAGCAATTCCGGACCTTTAACACTGAAGAAGTTCAAACTGAATTCCGTCGCGATGGCCTTCGCGAGAAGTGTTTTACCAGTACCTGGAGGTCCATAGAATAGAATTCCAGACCTCTTCTTCATACCCTTGGCAAAGAGCTCCGGGTGCTCAAGTGGCAGTTGAATGGTCTCCATGACTGCATCTTTGACATTTGTAAGACCGCCAACATCGTCCCAACCGACACTTGGGATCTTGGGGGCACCAATCGCGTCTGCAAAATTCTTGCGGGCAGCATCGACCGCAAGATCAAAGTCAACCTTGGTTAGACAACGCCCTGCTGGTCCACCAGCGACTAAAAGATCTCGGACGGTGACTCTGGTTTGTGCATCGGAACTTTTTAACGATAATTCCTCGAGACGTGAATTGCGAGCAACAATTGCACGGTCAACCACATCAAATAGATCACCAGCAACAAGAGCAGCAGTCTTAACAGCTACAGAACTCAGGTCAACCTCTGGGGCCAGAGGAACTGCCTGGTCCTCGACAATACTTCTAAGGATACCCTCTCTTTCCCATTCATCGGGAGCAGACATCTCCAACTCATGGGTAAAGAGGCCCCGAACACCATCAGGGATCTTGTCAACATCCGTAGTGGTTGCAATGAGTACTCTAAGTCCGGACAATATTTCAGACAGGGTTACTATAATTCTATCCGCAGTAAGAGCCTCGATATGGCGAATCAATAGTGCACAATACTCGGGCCCACAATGCATTGCTTTGTCCGCACGAGACTTGAGATATGCGACAGTCTTAACATCGCTACCAGCCCCCCCTTCAGTAAGGATATCATAAGAATCGATACTGAAGGTGTGAAGACCAATATCGGAACATGCCCTGGTGGCCAGTGTTGATTTCCCAATATTGCGCTGTGTTGAGACTAGGAGAATTGCCAAAGGTTTCTGCTGCAGGTGTATCGCTCGAGGGCTTGTTGCTGCCGCGATCAATTCTCGCAACCTTCGCTGAAGTGATGTGATCTGGACTTTTCTCGGCTCCGGCAATGCATTAGAAAGAATATCCAGCTTTGGTAGAGATTTCAACCCCAAGTAGTATTCCCATGTGTTTTCTATTGTCGAAGGCACTCGACTATTTTCACTGCCAGACTGCAAAATATGAGTTGATGGACCATCAACAGAAGCTGCGCCCCCCCAAACATCTTCCTCGTCCGCGGGTTCCTCCTCCTCTTTGGATACTCCAATGTATGCTATTTTGAACCATCCCACAGCTGTGGGCTTAGTAGAAGAGGCATTTTGTGGACCAGATAGAGACACATTTGATAATAACTCATCAACCTCCAGATCATCACTTGCGGATGTCTGGTGTAATATGCGACCAAGCTCCTCATCGATGGGGATTGCTATAAGATCGTCCTTTCGCACAATCCGGGTGCGATCGCCGAAATGGCTTTTTAAATTTGTGAAAAGTATATTTTGTAAAGTCCTTTCCGTTGAAGTCGGTGTGTTGATTTTGATTAATTTCATTTCCTGCAGGAAAGGTGGACGGGACGAGTTTGTGATCTTGGAAAGTGAAGGCCTTCCAAGCTGCGGAGTTCTTTTTAGGGGCGAAAGTCGACAGTATGGCGTATTCTCCATATTCGCTAGCAATATTGGCGAGAGATATACAGTTGGGCTAGAGGGCTTTTGGATTTGCGATTCAAAGAATGATAAACGCCTTTCTCCTTTTTTGTTACTTGGAATTTTGGTTATTGGTCGCTGAGAATACCCTTCTGGTAAGCCAAAGACTTTTACAGGACGCCAAACTGGATCCTCTGGTTCGTTATTTCCAAAGCTCCCTAGACCCCAGAGACCAGATCCATTAGAAGGCGGCTCAGCAGCTACCTCGAGTCGAACCCAGTCACCAGAGAAACAACCTATTTTTGTCAGGGAATTTACATCAACGAATACCCGAGCCTCATTGTCGTCCCCAGCACTTGGTTTTGGATGAAGAAGTACTTCTGGCAATGGTTTCATCAGTCCCTGTGCTCTGAACAATCTTCCTTTTTGTCCCCCAGCACGAGCAGTCGTAGCAGTAAAGGAAGAGAACACAGACCCAGGAGTGCTTATACCGTTAGTGCTTCTCCCTAGTGTACGTGGCGTTCCTGCCTGTACAGTCGAGATTCCGCTCGCATTGTGAGCGGGTAGCGTTGGAACCTGTAGCGAAATCAAATCATCCATGGAGTCATCTGATATACTGCCACTATCAGCATCCGATATATCATCTTCCGTCTCCGTGGCGGATTCATCATCGTCTTCGATTGCCGTGTCTGTCTTATAACGGTCCTCTGCTGCTGAATAGAATTGGTCTGTGGAAGTATCGTCGTCATCTTCTCCCACGGAGTTCAATGCTTTATTTACGGTCAGTGATTGATGCTTCCGGGCTTGTTTAGAATGATGACCAGTTTGGGTAATGATTATCTTGCTCATTGGGGATAAATAGCCCTGGCCGACAGGCTCACAGAGAGAAACTTGTGCGGGTGGAGGTGATACATGTGTAACGGAGTGCGGGGGGAGTGGCAGCGAGAAGAAATCGCCAGTATGAACTATCTTCAAAGACCCCAAGGCCTCCCGAATAGCCGATGTCAACCTATCTTCAGGTACGACAGAACTCAGCTTGCCCACGGATTTGCCATTCGTTCGGGCATGTTCGCCATGGAAGATGCCCTCTCCATTTTCCAGCCGCTGCGCAAGTTCTGCCTCAATGGTCACAAATACAACATCCAATGGCAGAGGTATCACATCCAGAATCCTTATTTCTATGCCACTCCGACTGTGACTCGATAGTTTCGAAGGAGCAACTTTCTGCAGAGCTTCTGCAAACCCTTGCAGGGCCAAAGAAGACGGGGAGAACTGAACGGTCGAATGGGCGAGTGCACTAGAAGACCGGACTGCCACCACGGTCCAAGTGGAATCTTCGACAGCGGTGGATGGGCACCATGGGGATAGAGCTACATGTAATAACTCGGGACCGGGAGTGCCATCCTCTTCAGCTATTAGAACAGAAATATCAGTTACACGCCTCCCAAACAAAGGTCAAACCCCGCATCGTATCGCATCGCACCTTGAGCAGCTGCAGGAAACAAATCGGCATATAGATCCTCGGAGAGGATGCCCACATCGCCCTTTATATGGTCATCCAAGACCAATCTGGCAGTAATTGAAGTTTTGTCCTGTCGACGTCGCTTCCGCTTTCGAAGGTGAGACATTGGCAGATGGTCTTCGGTGGTTGACATGCTGGTGTATGTAGGGCATGTGTAATCTTGTCGTTTGGGGAAAGTTGCGTTGCTGGACGCGTTGGCAAGCTATCGTTGCCCGCGCATGCTCAGAGGGGCCTCGGAGGGAAAGGGTTGGCAAAATATAGGTCGGGATTGGGTGTGCAGTGCAGGTACGAGTATTGGGAAATTACAATCATGGATGGGGCGAGTGATAATTATGTATATCAAGGACGAGCGGAGATGTGAGTAGAGGGTATAATGTAGCACATGTGAGCAATGTCTGCCCGTCTAATGTGACTTTTGCTTGACCATTCTCAATAGATGCACAGCATAGATAGGTATGGATGCCCAGCAAGGCGTTCGAGATTTTCCTGCAGGTGCAGGCCTATGCCGAGGTTGATAATAGGTCACGTGACGGATTCGCTCGAGGTCCCTACCTAGCCGCCACTACCTTGTACTTCCTACTCTCGCTACTGCACGATTGGGTTCACAACTCTTTCTACAAGTAATGATCTCGTACAACTACAACTTTTCGCATTGATATAGCAGCTCATTTTCCTTTCTAACATGTACCGAGTATATCTCACGTCGACTTGAGTTCCAACTGCAGCAATGACTCTTCTCTCTTCTGGAGAGGTCTTGTTCGTTTGACTATCAAGTAATTCTCAACACCAGGCAAGCCTAGAACCCCTCGCAATCAAATGATAGAGACAATTGATCTCCTCCATGTCTATTCCGCAGAGGTTCAATGATCTCGAGGACGAAGACGAAAATAGAACATAGTGCCGCTGCTGCCGCCCGACGTCACCAGATCAAAAGTAGCCAGGGTACTGTACTGGTACTGTATTGAATCCGGCCGAAGCACTGGATGAAAAATGGTACAGTAGGTGTGGGTGCGGGCACACCTCATCGTCCGCCTGCCCTGCGCTCGCTGCATCTTGCGACAACTCCACAACTCCAACTCGGCCCTCCCCCTCCTTTGAGTCGACCCCAGAAAGCTTCGCCTCGTGGTATCAGTAGTTGTCTACAAAGCCAATGACGCGATAGAAGACAAAGTCACAATATCTAGCTACGGCTATCCTCCCGCCTTTTGCTATAACATCAACATCAGCATCAGCATCAGCCTGACGTCCTCTCCTTTCTTGGGCCAGCATGACCGTCTTCTGAGAACGTAAGGTATATCCTCTTCATTCCATCCCATACCTATTTGGATATTCATTCTTGATTCTTTGCTCTGCAATGCCTTGCAAAGAGGCAATATCTTCCTCCAACAGCGGCTGTCGCACGTCCTGAAACGACGCCTGTTACTACTTGACTAAGCTAGACAGACATTCACACCATCTATTAGTCCAGCCCCTGCGCTAGAAATTTACCCATTCTCCCCAGGAGATTTTACCATCTTTGATTCTGTTCTCTACCATCTCCGCCTATGCCGTTATCGAAACCTCTTCGCTTTCCAAACTATCCATAATTGGCGATCAAAATGAGCGACGCTCCAATACCCCTCCAAAACCATGTTTTCCCACTCCAGAATAACCCCTTGGCACCGCCCTCAACGAAAGGTCAAAACAAAAGACCTGCGGATATAGATACGAGCGGTCTCTCGCGACGAACACCAGCAACGTCAGCAACGCTGTCGGGGGAAACAAATGTGTGGGAATGCGAGGAATTCCTTAAGTCGCCAGAAAACAACGAGCTGTTCCCCTCCCCACCCGATTATGGGACAGGCTCCGATCGACAATTCAAATCTATGGTTTATCGGCCCTTATCCTTCTCGCTGTCGCTATGTTGTCTAAGCTTGCTCTTTGCGGGTGCAATTATTTCGAATATAAAAATAAGCTTCACACGGAATCTACTACGGTTGATACAAATGGACCCGGATTCAAAACGACCATTCATTAGAGAAGAAAAGCGGAGGGCGGATTTAAGAGCCAGGGACGAACACATCTGGAAAACTGATTCCGATATAGAGACTCAAGCAGGAACGGAGTTTATGCCTACAGAGGGCGGAGAAGATCCAGTCCGGAATGATCTGCCATACTACGCAAGAAGGGTGGGCTTGGATGCGGAAGAATTGACAGTTTGTACCGAAGATGGCTTTCTCCTTACACTCACACATATATATGATCCAAACGAATATACTCCGCTGACAGCTTTGCAACGTAAGGCTCGAGGGGCCGACATTTTCACCGGCAAACCACCTTCGAGGCCACTTCCACATCCTTCCAAGTTCAAGCCCAAATATCCGATACTAATGATCCACGGGCTCATGCAGGCTGCAGGTGCATTCTGCTCGCATGATGATGCCTCGCTTGCCTTTTATCTTTGTAAATCGGGATACGACGTGTGGCTTGGAAATAATCGTTGCGGCTTCAAGCCCTCTCATTCCTGGTATAAACCTACAGATCCTAGGATGTGGACCTGGACCCCTCGTGACATGGGCACTCGCGATCTGCCAGCTCTCACTTCGCGAGTCCTCTCAGAAACCGGGTTCGACAAACTCGGACTCATAGCCCATTCTCAGGGCACGGCACAGACTTTTATCGCTCTCTCCCGTACCCAACGACCGTCCCTTGGACTCAAATACAGTGTTTTTTGTGCTCTAGCTCCAGCCGTCTACGGTGGCTCAATTCTCGACAAATGGTATTTTAAATTTGTTAGAAGCCTCCCGGATTCTTTCTATACGGCATTCTTTGGCATCCACGGTTTCTTCCCTGTTATGATGATCGCTCAGCATCACCTCAATAGTCGACTCTATGGCTGGTCGGCTTATATCATGTTCAACTATCTATTCAATTGGAGCGATTGGAACTGGGATCGCGCTTTACGCGATCGTTCTTTTCAATGTAGCCCCACCTACGTGAGTAGTGAGAGCATGAGATGGTGGCTAGGCCGTAATGGATTTGCTACCAACCGCTGTATCCTCTCGACAAAAGCTGAACTCGCGGTCGAAGAGCTCTCTGAATCCAACCCAAATATTGAAGCTTCTTCCAAGCCCTGGTTCGATGCCAGAATGCCACCACTCGCCCTCTTCGTTGCTGGAAAGGACCATCTGGTCGACGGCCAAAGACTTATGAACCGCTTTAAATCGGGCAAGGAGCCGGATACGAGGGTGCTTCATATGGGGTATTATAAAGATTATGAACATCTTGATGTTATTTGGGCAGCGGATGTTGTGGAGAGGATTGGGAGAAAAATTAGAAATTTGGTTTGGAAGACTGCGGATACTCAGGCGAGGGAGAGGTGCAGGGTTCCGAGGGGGTGCGAGGGGTTAGGGAGATGGATTGATGATAGGAGGGAGGCTTGTGGGAGTGCGGAGACTAGTGGGAGTGATGGAGAGTGGGATATTGATTAAAGATTCCTATCACCGTTTTAGAGGAATCGGGTTCGTCAAGCCTTTCTCTACGGGTACGGTCTTGGGGTTGAAAAGGCTTGTTTGATGGAGATTTGGGAATGGATATACCTACTATCTCGAAAAGCATAACGCCACCTCCATTCCATTTAATCCGTTCCGCTTCGAGATCTGAATACTACCGGAACTGAGAAAGAACCTGGCACTCGAAAAGACCACCGCGTTCTCGTTACCGGGGTCTATATTTTCCAAAACCTCAATATACGATTAAAACACACATGATGAAATCAAAACACTACTCGACCCGGTTACATCCATCAAATCCCAAGATTTCAAGGCATGGATAATATGACGATCCAGAAGATGGCCTCCTATACGTGGTTATTCGATGTGAGAAATGGTATCGAGGTACATATATGGGGTGGATATTTATATATACATACATGTAGATATAATGGGTTATTTAATAGGGATTGGTTGGTGGGAATTACTTGTTATATAGGATTTAATTGGTATATAGATATTTGATCTTTGTGTAAATATCATGTTGTGTACGTATGTGATCGGTGTGACAGGTTAATGGGATGGATGGAATGGTAAGTATGAAGTGATTTGATTGATACATAACTTTGTGAGGGTTTGGGGAGGAGTATTGCTTTATCATGCGTGACTGTCTTGCTGTATTAATATCCATCTATTCAAATTCTTTGATATAGTAGTTGCTATAGTCTATCCGATTGAAAAGACTATTCTGGCGCTTGGAAATTACAATTCTACCCAACTTGAATAGAATGCTGACTTCTTGAATAGGATGGGTTTAATGTGCTTTTTCTGTTTTGGTATACTTGGCCACCTGGAGTACGATTCGCGTACGAAGCTACATGTGGTAGGAGCCAGGCTTATATAGCCTTAGCCTCCTTTGGCCTGCTCCAGCTTGTCCTGCTCTAGCTGCTTCTATATACGGTGGAAACCATAGGTAGACAGGCAGGGCCGAGTCACCTGACTCACCCTTCTAACAACACCTGCATTATTCAGGTAAAATAAATTTACCTAGCAATTAAGTTAATCACCATAAATATAGAGCAAACTGATGATGAAATAAGGTTATACTGTATACAATCTTGGAAGAATTTCAGAGTTTCTAAAAGCCGATGAATCAGCCCAGCCAAGTGGGTGGTTGTGAAACTGCGAAAGAAAGAGGGAAGGGAAAGCGACCCCTGAACTTGGCGAACTGCTGTAACAATGATCGCTGACCCACTACCACACTTCAAAGCAGTGCCAATTAGCGAATCAAAGGGTTCAAGTTGCGAGCCGACAGCCGAAAAGTGCTTTTTGGCAACGTCGGTTACTCCACCTCTTCTTGGTGCGTGGTAAAATATGGAAATCTATCATGGGCTGGGCCAGATTTCTGTTTATATTTGGGATGTTGGAAGGGGCGGTGAAACGTGCCTATAGAAGCCGATGAAATCTGAGGGACCGTGAAGTTCTCGGTATTTGTTCAAACGGGAATAGAATTCTTGTGTCTTTGGGAATGAGGGTATAAGAAGACTGAGGAGACTGATCTTTCTTCAATTCATCAATCAAGCAATCTACTTATTCATCACTCAATCACTCAATCACTTAACTCAAAATCCCTACTACATTACACCATCCCAATATCCAACATGAAGTCCTTTACCACCATCTTCATCCTCGCCATTGCCACTCTCAGCATAGCTGCACCATCCCCAAACCCTCAAACCTTGAAAGATGCGGAATTCCAAGCCAAATGTGAAGCATCATGCAAATCCGTTTGCGGAAAGTTTGTTAGTATTCCTCTACATACCTTGATCCCCCGCATTCAGACAATCTGGCTAATCTGTGATCTTCTCTTTGTTAGGGCCTTGAGCGAGCGTTTTGTCCTGGTGATGAGAAGGATACTGCCACCTGTACCTGCGGGACCATTGGTACATCCTCATTCTCGAGGAAACCATCAAACTAGTTTCGCAGGAGGAATGTAACGATACTATGATATTTGGGGATTGGACGGTATTGGAGTTAGGCAATATAGGCTGTAAAACATCGCGGGTACGAATTGTTGGTCGGGACTATGGGATGGGAATGGGAATATGAATAGGTAGACAAATATGCCTAATTATGGAAATTGATTATTGTATCACGTGTTCGTTTTCGTTTTCGTTTTCGTTTTCGTTTTCGTTTTCGTTTTCGGGATTCTGATGAGACTTGTTAGGGTTCCTATTTTCTGAACTGTTTATCCCATCCAAGGTCGCGTTGATAAGCACTGCACATGAAGTGAAGGAAGAGTTTAAGTAAGCGAAAACAATTCAACAAGGATACTCAGATCTCCAAAAAACGCCATCTTCGCTTAAATGACAACATGAGAACACCATACTTCAACATCACCTCTTCCCCCAAGTTGATGCCTACAATCACAAATTTAAGCTTTATATCCCGGGATCTGGAAACTGCAATCTGTGAGAGGACACCCCCATCTTCTGCTGTTATCATTAAATTACGAAGTACATGGGGGCTTGTGAAGTGATAACGGTATATGTCACATGGAATGCGTGCTGCATGGCGAATTGTTCGTGCTTGAGAGATTGTGAATGGGATGTTGCAATAGTGGGGGCGCTTGTCGTACAATGGGATTTTGGGTATTACTTATACATGCGCATCGTAGATTTTCGCTCATTGCTTTTTTTAGATGTTAACCTTTCGGTGATTGACACATCACTTTCGGTTTATGAGCAACAAGAGAATATGTCGAACTCAGAATCTACATCAAATGATGTGAATTTGAAAAGCACTCATACCTCCGATAATGAAGCTCAACAAGTTACACACGAGTACATAAAACGTAGCACTCCCATCATCAAATCCCCCCCAAAAGAAAATAAGGCATAAAACAGGAAGCTAACAACCACAAAGCAAAATGGTACCGAAGTTCCTTCTACAACGCTCTCATCCTCCGAGTCTGCAACTTCCTCGCCCCCGGAATCTTGGGAGCAATGAACCCCCTCGGCGCAGGCGGCGCCCAAAAACCATACCTCGTGAACACCGCAAACGCCCTAACATTCTGCCTCATGGTCGTATCCTGCTATTTCTCACCCACGCTCGTCCGTATGATCGGAATCAAATACGCGCTCCTCTTCGGTACCCTCGGGTACGCACCCTACGCCGCGGGTCTCTACACCAACAACCGCTTCGGAACCGAGTGGTTCGTTCTCTTCGGTGCGGCGTGTTGTGGGATCAGTGCGGGTGTGTTTTGGATGGCGGAGGCGGCTATTGCTTTGGCCTACCCGGAACCCGAGAATCAGGGCAAGTTTCTGGGGTTCTGGTTGAGTTTTCGGGTTGGGGGGGCAGGTGGTGGGTGGTGCGATCAATCTGGGACTTAATGCGAAGGCGAATAAGGCGGGAAAGGTGTCTTATAATGTTTACCTTGCTTTTATTGCCTTGCAGGCTGTTGCGCCGCTTGCGGCTTTGCTTTTGAATAAACCTGAGAAGGTGCAGAGGACTGATGGCGTGAAGGTTAGGTTGGCGATAACGGAGGGTTCTATTTATGAGTTGAAGGCTACGACGAGGTTGCTTTTTAGTCGTAACTTTTTGCTTATTATTCCTCTTATTGCGCAAGGTGTTTATACTGAGGCTGTTATATTTACGTTTCAATCTCTTTGGTTTAGTGTGAGAGCCAGAGCTCTGGGGTCGTTCGTTCCGGGGATTGCGGCTGTTATTTCTGGGAATCTGTTGGGTACGTGGTTGGATCGGCAGAAGATAGCTTTGAGGACCTGGGCGAGAGGCGCTTTTGTGGTCATCTTGACTCTGCAGGGTGCGTGGTGGATTTGGGCAACTATTCTCGTGAACGACTTTCATAAGAGTAGACCGACCTATGATTGGGTGGATGCTGGGTTTGGAAAGGGATTCGCCCTATTTTTGATGTGGGTTGCTGGATTCCAGTTAAATTACATGTATCTGTAAGTCCCCTTCTCCTCATATCTAAATCGACCAGTATTAATGTTTTGCGTCAAGATATTTTGTTGTTGGAGAACTCGCCGGAACTCCAGAAGAACTCATTCGTATTGCGGGATTGTTGAGAGCTGTTGAGTCAGCTGTGCAAGCAGTGAGCGTTAGTTGCACCCGAATACCTTTAATCAATATACATGGCTAACATTCTTCAGTACGGTCTCAATAGTATCCCAATCATTGCTGATATTGGAGGTGCCTACCTCAACTTTTGCCTCTGGGGAATTTCTCTCCTGCCTGGTTGGTTGGTTATAAAGGAAATAGGCGTGAGCTTGGGTGATAAAAGGTGGAGAGAGAGCGGGTAGAGAGCGAAACTGAAGTTTCTGATGTCAAGAGCAACTAGACGTTCAGTTATTTGTAGACTTTCGGCGTTGGACACAGATATTTAAGTATCAGAACATTGGTTCCGAAGTTGGTATATGATAGATATAAAACATGAGTTTGTAGGTTAGAACGCTCTGGAGATCTGGATATGCGAGCAAAGAGTCTGTTAACAAATATGGGAAACGTTGGGTCATATAGCTAGCTATGTGACTCCCATAACCTGTGATACCTTCTCCGTATCAACATAAATAAATGCATCTTTTTTAACATTGTTATATGTCTGGGAATGTCGAAGTTTCTTTATGATGCTTTGAGTAGTCGAACTACACACAAGAGTTGAGTAGTACCAATAAGTAAGGAACAACACATCATGAACACTTGCAAACTGCTTCTGAAGCCCTATAGCCAAATAAGAGACATAAGGGGGTAAAAGAGGAGAAATGACATTATTTTCGGGATCTAGATCTAGAATCAACGATTCTACACATACCACACACGAAAGTCAACGATGAAGACACAGTTCACCAATATAAATCCATGAACTAGAAGCAGACAGAAGATCTTTTAATATTACCTTATTCTTACTGATCTCAAATCGAGCGTTGGAATCATTAAGTGAATCGACAAGCTCGCTTTTTGGTAACATTTATATTCGGTAGACGTGTGAAAGCATGCTACGCATATCTAAGCACAAATTTTACAGAGCTTAATGTTTTGAATGTGATTGAAGTCTATTTTGAGATATGGAGTAGCTGACGGTGAACAGTATTAAGGATTGGGAATTGTGGAGAGAAATCTCCCTTTACTCTGTAGACGGAATGTTAGGCGAGGGGAATAGGGGGTGAGGTGTAGAATTCGGACGCGGGCGAGGGGCATGCCAAGACTCGTTCTCGGAACAAAATTTCACCGTAGTTTCCTTTACTACGTAGTAAGACTCGCTAATAGCCCAGTTCATCTTACTATTTATCAACTCCAAACTTTCGATACTTGTAATGCTCTAATGAAACTGCTTAACTCCACGACGTTCTTTCCCCTTCTATACCAAATTAGATACGAATATCATAGAAGAGGATAAATAGCGTGATTCATCATCTGTTACAAATAATTATTTCTATCACTAATACCTCCTTTAAAATGCGTATTCCATAATTCTTCACCGCATTCTGGCTCTCTGTAAACTTCGCTTTCGAGTCGAATTTCCTGGTGGGAAAGTCATTACAGAACAAGTACCAACATCTGAGTTCTTGAACCCCTTTTTAGCAAGGAGAACATCATATGTTTCATAGACTCATAGTGTCTGTCTATCTGGTTAGTACAGACGTGGTTTTAAGAATAGTGATAGGAATAGGAATAGGAGGCGCTAGTCGCTAGTGAGATTGGGGAAGGGCGGGGTATTCTGGAGGGATACAGTAGTATGGGAAACAAGGACGAGAGACTCATTTTCGCGATCTCAAATTCATGTTTCTAGATCCTGAGCAACTTCCATGTCAATCGTAGCGTTCTCTTGTAGTTCATGTCGACTATCCTAGCCAAATCATTAAACAAGACATTGATTCTGCATAGTTTCAATAGATATTATCGCGATCCGGTATTACACTGTTAACGTTTATCAATCTTCTTTCTACACTCAACCATTCGAGTCTCGGCTAGGAAACTCTGTCGAATGTTTTGGTAAAGTGATGTACATACAGTAAATCTTACTGTAAGTGACACCATCCACCCCTACTGTAAACACGCAAATAAGCTATCGTATTCGCCATCAACTTCCCGGGTCCCAGGTTAATCTTGAATCACTATATGCAAAAGTACTAAACGGCCTTCTTAGCTTGATACAACTAACTATCATCACACGTTCGCATCGGGGGTTAGTGACAATGTAGTCTAGTCTCTTCAGGTAAACAAACATGTTACTAAATGGTGAATAGTCGCAGAACTCATCCAGCACATTCTCAGAAAGTTAACCTCGACACTTATATTTAAGAGAAAGTCTCTAACGCCTTTCCGGTAGCCCGAGTCATTTCTATCGGCGTATACACTCCTTTCCTTACAGATTTCCCAAAAGAAGAATTATCGACACAGGCACCCACTAATCCCACCTCCTATTCTTAAGAATTCCTCTCATTTCCCACTCATCCCACTCAGCATCCACAAATCCTTCCCATTACCAACACTCACCACTCACCACTCACTCCCATCCATCTTCCATCCATCTTCCATCCATCTTCTAACTATTCGCTTATTCTTCCCTTATGGTCTTGTCTTCATAACAAACATATCCACTGAATTCCCAAGACTATTTAAAAGTCAAAGAAAAGAAGGGATGAAAACACCACCTCATGTACCCTATCCTATTCCCTCGCTTACAAACAACACCGAGATTGTGCGAGGAGGAAGTCTAGGACTTTGGTTCGTGGAGGAATAGGAGGGGAGGATTTGTGGGTATAGGAAGGGTTTGGGGTTTAGTGAGTGAGTAAGTGGGAGGTGTGGGCTGTAGGTTGTGGGAAGGATGGTAGTGTTATGATAAGGAAGGAGAGGTGTGTAGAGGGGAATTGTAGGGGAAGGGGATGTTGTGTGGTGGTAGATGGTAGGGTATATTTTTTAGGAATATGATTGATGTTTTATACCCGTATAAAGGAGAGTCGATATTAGTCTTTGTTTATTTATTTATTAGGATATTAGTTTTCGAAGTCTTGTATTACGTAATAGAGTTGTTTTTTAATTCCTATCCTTGACAATCTGTTTAAGAGAGATATAGGAATTATAAAGAAGAGTAGGAATATGAAGATATGATGACGTATTTAAGAAACCAAGATATAAAATTTCCCGGTCGGTCTCTTTAGAATAAGGAGATGTACATACAGTGCTATAAGTGTCTGATAGGGTTCTCATGTCTAGATCTTAGGATTCGATCTAGTTCTAGATCTTTCAAGGATCTAGAATGCATAAGAAAGATAGAAAGAAAGATACAGTTCGATGTCTTGCATACCCGTGGGAGACGGGAGACGCGAGACGCTTGCCATGCTGTAACACATATCCCGCGACTGGCTGGATTACACATACCTTTTCGTAATACCTGGTACATAAGCCAGGAATAGATATCATTTCTGCTGGAAAAAGCAAGTCCTGATGAAGGTTAAGGAAGAACTAAAACTCTAGTTTGGTGTTGTATGCGAAGAAAAGTTGTTACACAAGAGGAAACAAATAACCACGAGAAGAAAAAAGGAAAGGAAAGGAAATAACATGTCAGGTCAGCGGAGAATATATCACCTCTGACTCACTGCTGAACCACCCTCTTCACGCAGTATCACTCCAAGGAATCCGACATGGTGATGAACAGTCAATCCAGGAACCAGGAACTGAAGAAGAGTACAAGAAATCAACAACTGCAGGTTCACTCACTCCTCCTGACAGGGCCAAGGCTCCACCCAACCCCACTGCCACTCCCACCCACCGCAATGGCGCCATCGAGCAAATAAGAAAGCATGGTGGCGTCTGGACCTGCGGTGTAACCCTAGGCGGTCACTTGACGATGGGTAACAACAATCACCCTTCCACCCAATCTTACCTGTCAGCTTACTAGACCAGAACAGAACGCAGATTTTTCTGACGATAAGCCAATAATGCTCGCGACACTTTTGCATCATCTGGTCTTGTCTGTGCCTTGCATCTGCAGTCCTCTTTTTACCTTGAAGGAAAGGGTGGATCGGGTCAAGTCCAGCGCATTTCGTAGCGCGAGGTGGCAGTTGGACGTGGGTGGTTGGCTGGATTGGGATCTGACTCGGGCAGATGGTGGTTGGGAGCCGCCTTGGATTGGGATAGAATTCGACTCTCCTGTTCTGTGGTGTGACTTCGTAAAGGTATGTTGGAATTACAATGCATACTGTACATGTACATATGTTGTTGCATGGTCGTTGTGTTGGGTAGGATCTCTTTTATCCCAACTCACCCCCACCCAATCCCCTACACCTCGAGGTCTCGTCAGTGTGTAGTACAGAAGCCCGAATTCCTGGTAAGGGATGGAGGCAGTTCTTTGCTCGGGAATTATGCGCCATGACTCCGTATACCGCTCCTTTCTCCGTTTCTCAGGGCGGATGGCATGTGAATTGTACATGAATTACGTACCTTGCGATTCTTGGATACAAGGTTACTGGTGGGTAGAGATGTCCGTCAAGGAAATTTGCTTTTTTCCCCTTTTGCCGCCCGTGTGCCAATAATATCACGAAATGTCGAGTCAATAGTAGGGAAGGTTGAAGGTAGAACGGAGGTTGGTTTGTTAGCGAAGTTGAGTGAGGCGACTAAGGTTGCCCCTCTTTTGCTCCCTTATCGGGCAGATGGCAGATCCGATAGCTGAGGTGGAGGGGAAACCCTTGGACCGTTTGTGTCGGTGAAGGAGGTTTATACTATTATTTTGACAGTGCAGCGACCGTGAGCCATATAAAATCATACTCTATTGGGTGGTGTGAGATGTGAGGTTCGTCGGTGTGAGAAGGCGTTTTTTTAAACATGTGCAACACATGGTGATGGCGTGGTGGTAGAGTCAGAGCGTTGTAAGTCAGAAGTAGGTAGTGTTTGAAATAGAACAATTCAGTACAGTAACTACAGTACAGTAGCTAATCGGGCGTGAGTGCGTGCTGAACGTCTGATAGAAGATTGAGGGGTCCGGCTCCTTCGGCAATATAGGGGGAGCGAGTGGGGCGGGCAGGACAAGGCGAGGCGAAAAAAATACGCATCAGCCAGCTCAGGGCAGGGCAGGACAGGCACCAACCCAGGCCCAGGAACAGTGACGAAGATGAAACGAAAAATAATGGGGGAGACTTTAGAGTACGGAGGTACGTATCAATAATAATGGGTCGAATATGAGGGTCCGGTGGGCGATGATGATGATGGCCAATATTTCCGATTGTGCCCTGGCAGATGTTCAATAATGCTCCCCCTTTTTTAGCGACGGAAATCAAGTCCGGGGGAACTGTTTCGTTAGTACAGTGGTGGTGGTGGTACTTGTAGAGTAATTAGTATTAGTCGAGTCACTTTGATACTGCATCTACACCGAATGCAAGCGTCCACGACCTCCTGCACGTCTAGTATACTGTACAGTACATATGCATATACTCAAGTACTCGTACATATACTGGCGCTGGCTACTTGCACGGCAGAAACACTACACCACATTGCACTGCACTACTGGAACTGTCATATTAGGGAATGCAGGGCGAGTCAGGTAGCAGGTAGCAGGTAGCAGGTAGCAGGTAGCAGGTAGCAGGTAGCAGGTAGCAGGTAGCAGGTAGCAGGTAGCCAGGCCAGGTAGCCAGCGTGGTGTATCGGGTGAAAAGAGACCGGCTTTCCAATGAAGCTGGAAGGTTGTCACTGCTGGTGATGGATCTGGCACCATGTGATAGCTTCTAGATCACCTATCCATGGATGCTTAGAAGGATTGAGTACGAGGATTCGAGATTACAGTGTATACACATCTCCCGGCTCCCTCCAAATACCCCTCTCTTGTCGCGTTGCGCCCCGTGGTGCGCCCTGACTGACTCTGTCGACTCCCCACCAGACTTGTACTTCTACAGGCAAGTATCATAGGGATTGTGGCAGTCGCAGGTCTGTGGGAACTGTCACCTACAGATCCCCTCGCCATCTAGCGCTATTGTCGGCTTGTTTGTTAATCCCCTCTCGAGACTGGCCCAATCAAGCTACGAATTTCGCTTTAGCTTTGCTTAGCTCTGCCAGACCTGCCCCATGGGAACATCAACCAGGGAATTTAGTGGCATCTCCCTGGCAGCAGCTACGGTATCTCCATACTGTCGTGGTAGAGGTACCCAGAACCGCCCCCACCCACTAAGGGACCTGACATTGAAGGTTGGCTGTCGTGCATATACTTTGCACTAGTGTCAATATGTCCGGAGTACGAAGTAGCCATAACCTGGAGGCATATTCGAGGCGTAGGAAGTAGGGAGTAGAGACGGGAGTAGAGACGGGAGTAGAGACAGTACTGTTTGGTACTGCAGTGTACGGAGAAGTGTATACATAGGTTGTAGCGCACTCGACCAACCAACCTCTCGCGACCTACCTAGTCTAGTACCCCTTGCGCCGCCTCACACACTCTGCCCCCCTCCCCCCTCTCCCCCCTTTCCCAGTCCGGCCCTACTGCAGTCGTAATTCGTACGTTGGCTCGCTTATCGTCACACTATCCGACCCCCCCTGTGGCGGTCATACTGATCCTCCTCTATTCTGCTCATCAATCAATCCTTCCGCAGACGCAGACCTGACCTTACATCAACTCTCCCAGTCAGCCCTCCCCATCCGACCTCCAACCTCCAACCTCCAGCACATCCGCAACCTCATCACCATCACCATCACCAAAGAACTTGGTGCAACGCCATCCGCGGCCAGAGTCATAGTCATAGCCAGATTTAGCATGAGCATTGCCCGTACCATTGGCATGGGCATTCGCATGAGCACCGAGGCCTCCGTACAGCACACTACTAAACTACGCTTGACTTTATACACCTCCCCTCCCCTCCCCTCCCCTTCGCGCTCGGCTTATCCCTCGCCGCAAACTCCCGTGCACTGCACCCTCTGCACTGTCTGCACGGCGGTGGGCTAGCCAGCCGGTCACTCTAGCCATCCTGGTCGTCGATTACAGTGCGTATCCGTTACTGCCACTGCTACTGCCACTGCCTCCTTTGCCCGTCGCATACCATCCCTACCCTACTCCGTAACCAACATCTCCCTCCTTCTACCCCTCCTCTCCCGCCATCCACCTTATCGATACCAACCTCACGAGCCACCAACCGACGGTGTACACTTGACGACCCGGAAGAGGGAGAGACATCGTATCCAGTCCCATCCCCAGAATTCGTACGGTTACTGCACACTTTGACGCTGCTGCTGGACAAGTGGTGTCGCGAATATCTTCACAAGCCAAGGCGAGGCGAGGCAGAAAAGCACAGAGCAACGGCAACCAGCATCCATTGCGGCTCCCCTCGACCTACCTGATCCGGCGGGTTGATAGTCGCGCTGACGCAAGAACTATCCGCTCTCTCTCCTCATCTCGTCGGTCTTGATGTGTTGATACGAAAGGCCAACTTTTTCTTCCTTTTCATCGTCCCAACCTCCTCATCTCATCTTGTTCCGACCGCTTGGAGAGGCTTCTTTTTCGCTCCCGCCTCCGACGATCACCAACCCCTTCGTCATATATCCCCGGTTATCAAATAGCAACACCCCACCAGCACAATGACAATGACTACTTTTCGTCCGGTGAATACATCTCTTGCACCCGATTTACAGACTCGAAATGAGGAAGATACCGCACCAACAACACCCCGACCAAACACGGCACCTAGGACACAACCTGTCGTAATGCCTCGAGACGATGCAACAACACCCACTCGAGCCAACTTTGGCTCCTTGCCTAGCCAACGGCCCCTCCCCGCATCATCCCCTTTTCCATCCACCAACTCGATACCCGAAAACGAAGAATCCCCGAAACAGAGTCTAAATCGAGGCAACTCCCAGTACTCAGCCAAGTCGAAAGACTCGCAGGATGTCGAAATGGGTGCCGACTCGGAAGAAGGAGAGGATGGGTCGGATGACGAAAGTGTTATCAATGCGGATGGAACAAAGTCATCGAAGAAGAAAAAGTCACAGAGATTTTATTGTACCGACTACCCTCCATGTGGGTTGAGCTTTACCCGCAGCGAGCATCTTGCTAGACATATAAGGTAAGAGTCGAGAGACTGGGAAACGATCTGCGATATATACATATACTAATAGTTGTAGAAAACATACTGGCGAACGTCCTTTTCAATGCCACTGCTCTCGTCGATTCTCGCGACTCGACAATCTTCGACAACATGCTCAGACGGTTCACTTGAACGAAGAGATTCCTCAAGACTCGCTAGCAGCAACTGGCACCAGATTCCAACGACAAGTCCGAACAGATAGGGTCAGACCTCCAGGAAGTCGGTCGAGAGCTGCAACTACAACTGGTCAGATCAGTCAGGGTCGGGGACACACAAGAAACTCCTTATCGGCATCAAGCATATCGTCTGTCTCCTCAATATATAGCCAGAGGGAAGATGTAAGAAGACGGCCACCACCTTTGGTTATGGCGGGAGAGTCTCGAGGGAGGTTTTCTCAGGAGATGTACCCTCGACCTGAAAGTCCAGCTCACTACCAGTTTCAGCAAAATTCACCTGGATTTAGCACACCGACCTCGGCTACTTTCTCAACCGGCCAGAACAGTCCGCGATGGGGTGCTTCTGGAATACAATCTCCGATGTCCTCGCATGCCCGCACCGCAAGTCTTTATGGACATAGAACCCCAGGTCGCAGACTGTCTGTGCCGTCGGCTGGGAATCCATTCCAGTCACCACATGGTAGCGCATATGGTCCTCAATCAGCCTTGACCCCCTTGAGTGCTACCATGGGATCTTTCTCCCCTTCGAGCAGCATTATGCCAAGTCCTACAAGTTCAACGGCAGGATCTTTCTTCTCTCGAAGGGAATCGATGACTAGCACTTCAGACGAGGCCTGGAGACGACGAACATGGCATCCTGATACCAACACTGGATTTACGAGTAGACTTCAGGTTGTTACCACACCAAACTACTACTCCAATGGCCCACCCCCACAACCTCAGTCTGTCCTCCCAAGTAATGCTCCCCCCTTACAGCCAATGCGCCTTCCTGGTATTGAAAGCTTTGATCCTCTCCCCCCACGCCCGACCACTCCTGTGCGCCGTCAGCCAAGTCCGATGATGCTCGACGCCACAAGTCGTGAAGCTCAACCTGTTGAACAGCAAACGAACGAAAGACCCAGCAGCCAACATTGGGACATGGGTATCAACCGCAATCTCAATCGACTCGACCTTGCACAGGGTACACCACCAAGTGACACAGCCAGTTCGTGGGCTTCCGAGGTCAACAGAGCTGTGCAAGCACAAGCAGAACAACCTCGAGCGCAGCCTTCTGTTCGTTTCGAAGAATCCCAGTACTCGGCTAGAGCACAGACGAATAGAGCGTTCCACCAGCATACGATCAGTGCACCACCAATCACTCCAAGAGAATCAAAGCGCCATGGTTGGTATCACGGTCCTGTAACGGTTCAAAGAGGCCTTATACAGCGAACGTCTCCAGCAGATTCAAGCAGCTCTGAGGGAGCCCTCCCCGGAACACCAGGCAGCTCACACGTGATAGAGGTCAATCCCAGTATCGTACACGCTAATGGCTGGGTTGAGAACCGTAACGGACTTGTGAACCCGCATCAGGATCCTAGAGAGCCAGCATCGAATGGTTACGCATCTTATTATCGTCAGAATGGACCGGAAGGGTCCTATACTTATACCCCTGCCAACAACCAGGGACACATTCGTCACCAACATCAGGTTCCAAAATCAACAGATAGCAATATGCTAAGACTAGAGGCGTTGGTGGCTGTGGCTACTAGCGAGGAAAATGCGGCAACTCCTATATATTGAGAGAATCCACAATGGGGATTTCCATCGGCGGGAAACATCCGAGGAGGATGTTTTATGTGTTGGATTGTATATATTATTACGCCTTCCCTCACTTCATTCATAAGATACCCGCGTCTTTTTAACACGCCACGACCGTTACGAATACACACGAAGATTATGACACGACATACTTATGCCAAGACGGTTTTCAGATCCACCACTGGGGACGGAGCGGTTGTTGCATTGACTAAGGCGTTTATACGGGTACATTGATTTTCTCACAGATTGTTTCATCTTGTCACTCATATCATTCTCATGCATGGGATTTCTTCCTCGTTTGATTTTGCTCAGCAAACACCATTCGTTTGGGACATCCCCGTGTACCTGGGGACCCTTTGCTGTGATTCTTCATTTTCCTTCTCTGGTCTTTGGGATATGGGAAGGAGCCTCTGGGCGGCTGGGTACATGAAAGAGAGAGGAGTGGGAGCGGGATTGTGTGTTGTTTTGATTTCCTTACTTATACCCACGCGATTGTACTGTTTTTTCGCTCTACTCTGGTAGGAACTCGGAATGCTTTTGAGTGGGATTTTGGGATGGATGGACAAGGATCACGTATAATATTTTGCTTGTACTCTTTTGTTTGCTATTTATTAGTAGCATGTCTTGAATTTATATCTATATCTATATCTATACCTACCTATATCTGATATCCGTAAAAGTCCCTTCTCTTTCTCTCCTCCTTTCGCTATTACAAGCGAGTCTTTTAGAATAGAGTACTGTAGGCAAGTTACATAAGAAAGTTCGCCATAACTTTCATTAACTTGAACCGCTCCTTGTGTATCTTTGGAGAAAAGAAAAGAAAAGTGTTTCTGATTTAGGCTGCGTGTTTGTATACGACATACTCGGGCAAATGATAACCCAAGTTTCTTTGTCTCATTGGAGACGTGATGTTTGGGGGAAGGGGTATCATATCTTTGATTCATGGTGATTTGTAGTGCTGAACTGGATATTTTAAGTATTATATCTTTACTCTTCCTGGAATGTGGAGGGTAGGTGTGGAGTTTTTTGGAAGATGGTATGGCGGGTTGAATGAGGGTGATTGTGTTGTGGTATGTTGAGTTAAGGGGAGGGGAGAGGAGGGGAGGGGGAGATGTTATTATGGTTTATGATGGTCTACTTGGGTTGGTTGAGGGGTGGATACTATTGGGGATACGGTAGTGGGGATATTGTTAAGAGATTGAAGGGGATTTGGGTATTCTTACTTGTAGTATGTATGGATGGATGGATGGATAGAGTATAATCTACCTTGGTTTATTCATGTATATTCATGTATTGTTAGATTGTAAGTTTGTTTTGTTGCTTTGTAGTTGGATGGTTGGTCTGTTGATCCATGATGATGATCTGTGAGTGAGTGAGGTTAGATGAAAATTGTGTGAGAGGGTTTGGGGATTTGTTGGGGGTGGATTGACTGTGGTGCTGCGCTACTTGCTTTTGGGGTTGGAATTAAGCGATGGGATGAAAATGTTAAGCGAAGTGGGTTGGATTTCGATAGCTCAGATTTGTTGGCTTAGTATGAGTGAAGGCCTTTATTCAACCTGTTCCTGTTCTTTTCTTTTGTTTGGTTATCTAGTTTATTTCCTACTTCTAGGGAGGGGTTTGGAATCTAGCTGCTAGAATCCAGCTACCAGAATCTGGCTGCTAAAATCATTCTTTATGTTATGTTAGTAGGTCTGACTAGTAGTTTCTATCATATAAAATCGGGAGTCTGGATGCTTCACAGGTGGGAGACTAGGAGTGGGATTAATGTTATGCTAGTTGTTATTGGGAAGGGTTCTGGAAGAATATGGGGAGTTAATCTTGGGGATTTGTGAGGATTGGAAGGGATTAGGGGTCTAAGGTAGTTAGTGAGCTGAAGTTAAAGAGAGTTGTTAATAAGTAGAGTTGAAATGCAAAAGTTTTATATGGCATGAATGGAATACTTTGATGTCGTGGAGGTGGTTAATGGTAAATTCGAATGTTATATATCGGACTTCTAGGGGTAAAGTTTCTTTGAGTGTGATGTTTTGGGGATTTGGGAATAGCTATGGTGATATTGTGATTCGGAATGCAAAGGAAGTGCAACAAGGAGATACGAATGCATTGTCTGATTACAGATGTTAGGAAAGTAATTTTGGTGGTTGGTTGCTTGTATGCTCCAACGAGATATAAAATTTCGCGTGCACGTTTCTCAATAGCCCCCCCAATAGGCATGAATTATAGCATTATTTGCTATTTAGCTTTTCAAATTATCTCAAGTTCAGGGTCGAGAGAAACAGTCGTCCCCCACACATTTCAAATCAAACCAATCCAGCACCGTATCAACATTCGTCCGGATATTATGCGTAATATTCGACGCACTCGTCGCCTTAAACCTCTCATTTCCAAACTCATCGCACCAACTCATTGTAATCCAACGCGGACTAACATCATCCAAAAAAATGGTCGCACCCTCGCTTGCAACACCCAATACCTCCGTCCACTGTTTGATTGCCTCGAGGAAATTTTGATAAGACACCGTCTCATCTGCCGTTCCATGTAAAACATGCATCTTTGGCCTCCACCCCTCATAGCCGGGATAACCATTTTCAACAACCGTCTTCCACTCAACACTGCTTTTGGTTACTTGTCCAGTGGCACAAGCCTCCGACCACACTCCCACTCCATCAGCTGCGTAACATCCGAAAGGAACACCCGCCCACGCAGATCCGGCAGCGAAAACGTCTGGATAGCTCCCCAACAGCACATTCGTCATCATAGCACCGCTACTAGTCCCCATGGAAAACACCCTCTTCTCATCAGCGCCATATTTCTCCAAAACATAGCGGACCATAGATACGATGCCCAGACTATCACCACCCCCTTCATGCGAGAGGGTTGCAGGAGATGAAATGTCCCAGCAGTCATCTATATCATTTGGCGAATCGGGGAAGATCATTATATAGCCGTACTGGTCGGCCAATGTTGCGAGTTGAGTGCCATTGAATGCTGCTTGGGCGGTCCCATGACACCAGTGTGGGTTTACTAGAATTGGCGGGTTGGGAGCAAGAGTGGTGGGGACGTAGAGGTAGAAGGTTACGTTTGAGGGGTTGGGACCGAATTCGCTGTTCGGGATTTGGAGAAGGGGGTTTTGAGCCGCTGCATTGATGGTAGTTGTTAGGGTAGTGAGGACCGTAAAGAATTTGAAGAAGGACGCCATCGTGAGTTTCTCACTGTTGATCTTGGACGTGGAGCAAAAGCTGACGAAAGGAAGAAATGTCCTTGAGGGATTCTTACGGTTGTAATATATCCATTGTACCCCTCCCTCGTGGTATTCATTGGAGGAAAGCTCAATAATGCTTGTGACCTATACTGGTAAACACATCGACAGGGATATTTCCCTTCATTACCATAGGAGGTGGACAAATAGCGGAAAAGAAACACATTCAGACAATCTTCCATCTGAAAGAACGGGCCGATCGAAAATTATAAAAGCAAAAAGTGCTTCAGAGTTTCAGTACATTTTAGCACCCTGCGTTTGCCCCATTTTCCTCGGTGCTTCGTACCCCGTATGTACCCCGCACCCCACATCCAGATAAGCGTAAAATAACCATTCGGTAAGTCTGAAAGTCTAATTGACGAGGATTATAGATTATCCGTCAATGAAAAGGGGGATTTACCTTTTTCTTTTGGTCGTGGATCGGTCGGGTATTCGGAAGCTGTGGAAGTTTACCCCGCAAACAGAGCTCTCGCTTGGGTGATTTGGGGAAAAGGGGCGGTAGGGAGTTTTGTCATGTGACTTGGATGGAAATTGTGTTGATGTACACGGGTTCTGAAATTGGTGGTAGTTTGAAAGGATGTGTTTAACTAGGTATCTTAGATGTGAAGAATCATTGTTTGGGATGGCTGAAGTTGTGCCCTGCTGCCAAGTGTTGTTGTTCGGAAGGAAAGAACGATTTGGATGGCAACCTCATCAGATACCAGACTTCGAAATTCCTCCATGGCTTACCCAACGACCAACCATCATTTTGTCATATTATCCAAGATCGAGAATTCTTATTGTTAATCAAACACCAAAAAAGACACTTCGGGTTACCCATCCTCCGGACTCGATACTACCACGCTGTTTTCCTTCCCTCGAACGTGACAACTCCAGCCACCCTCAGTACAGCCAACTTCGGCATATACGTAGCCTCGTCTTCATTCCCAGTCACAAGCCTTCACATATCGGTCTACTTTAGGCTTCCAGCTCGGCTGCTTTTCAATACTATCCATACTGTTAGCAATTCGCTGACCTCCATCGATACTTGAACTCAGGCTTCCCGCATTCAAAAACTTAACATACGCCACAGGCAACGTCTGCAAAAAATCAGCAAACCCTCCGCAAACCTCACCAAAGTTGTGCGGCACGAAATGACGCCACTGAGTGTATGTACGGCGTGCAACCAGCCAGCCCAAAGAATTTGCAGTGGATGCAAGGATGCGCCCTTCGACAACCCACCAACTCTTTACTGTGGTAAAAGATGTCAGAAAGAGAATTGGCAAAATCACAAAACTACTTGTTTCCGTCTCAGGAATCTCAGGCTTCTCAATCGCGTTGCAACGATGGCACAGAAGCTTTGGTTCGTTATGAAGGAGTCTGGTTGGAACCTTTTCCATATCCGTCGTGCTGGCACAGTAGGAGTCGACTTACCATTTGAGCTGGTAAAATTTGGTCCTTTGGGTACTCGTGAAAGCTTGGCAGATATAAAGAGGGGCGATCTTGTAGCCATTGGTACTCTCAAAAACCCGGAAAATTATGACTATGTCCGTTTCTGTGCCGAAGTATTTCCAAACCAGCAAGATCGAGAGGCATTCTTAAGTCTTGCGGGGGGTGAATCGTCGGCGATAAGATTCATGGGTGAATTCATCGAGGGTTTTCTGAAGGAGATTGTCAAGAAGACAGAGAAAATTCGACACCGTCCAAAGGGGACGAGGCGTAGGACAACATTTACACCATGTTGCACTCGCATGTTTCGCCGGTATCCCAGACTAACTAATCTGCTGCAAAGGTTAGACAAGCCCTATCATGTCGTTCTGAAAGTTACTCTAAATTCTGAGGAGGAGTTCGCCATCGATCTCGCAGGCGCACAATATGGACATCATCAACCCGTTATCCCTTGGGATGAGTTTCAACGGACCAGGGTCCTTGAAATAACTTCTACCATTCCACCGCGGACACCACATGGTCTGTTGAAAGTAGACGACTACAGAATGGATGCCATGCTAAAACAAAACGTTAAAATAAACAGACACGGCTCAAAAGATTTTGAACTCGAAGCACTAGCTATGTTGATGCGTCTTTGGCAGTCAAAAAACCTAGGTTTCAGAGACCTTTGGAATCTACCAATGGATGAATTCGTGCGGCGAAATAGGGAGCTTGTTGACTTCGTTCACTGGAACTTTAATCATCCGTCTTTAGGCACAGGAACTGCTCGTGGAAAGTTGCTTCGAGATTTATATCCGAATGTTTGGCCACACTACAAAACCTAAAACTGTCAACCGAGTTTGTGGTACCGAAAGAATAACTATTCTTCCAGTCCGAGGACGTTTGAACGTGGCCCAAAACCTCTGTAGAACGTTTCTATTTTGCCCCTTCGGAAATCAACTTCATATACTACTCTGCTAGGAATCGGCGTGTCAACCTGGCCTTGAGCGTCTTTGGGCTAGGTGTGAGGATTGTCTTTTCTCGTCAGGATTTTTTGATAGCGGTTGGTACCAGGTCAATTCAATTTTAAAGCGGTTCTTTTTGCGCCAGATTTCTAGGACATTGCCATGAGATGACCAGCCCAGAAAGTAGACGAAAGTTCTGTAACATTACGCGAATCACGCATCTCGTTCTTCCATTTTCGGACATTTTCCTGATTTTTTGATTCGTATGTCTGGAATCCATCAAATGACATGATATTCCCACAGCACCGTTGAAAGCTTTCTTCAGTTTCGTCATATAAAATCTTCAAGTAAATTCACAAAGCCGCTAAAGTTACAAATGCCCCACTCACCCCTCTTCCTCTTCCTCATCATCAAGTTCCCAAACCCCTACCGTCTTCTCCCTCCAATCCGGATCCCGTTCAAACTCAGGCTCTAAAGGGCTTTCTTGTATCGCTTCTACCCTCGCTTTACCCTTCAAATCAATTTTCCCGATTTTCTTCGTAACCCTCCCTGTTAAGACGGCGGGATATGTGTATACTGGTTGTGGGTTTCTCGTTGCTCTGGTACTTCTTTTCAGAGGTGGAGATGTGGGCCCTGGCTCAGGTCGTTGGGCCGGATGTTTTGGTTTTGGTTTTGGTGAGGGTGGCGGTCTTACTTTTTTCGGTTTGCGTGGAGCTTTTTGTTTTGGTTGGGGTGCTGGTTGCTTTCGCTGTGGCTTTGGAGGTAGGATAGGCGCTGGTGGGAGAATAGGCGTCTGTGGTAGGATAGGTGTGGGTGGGAGGATAGGTGTGGGTGGGAGGATAGGTGTTCGTGGTAGGATAGCCGTTTGTATTGCTGATGCTCGAAGTGCCATTTGCTGTAACAGGGAGTTATTTTGAGCTTCTAGTTCTGAGTTTCTCTTCTGAATCTGTTCGGCTTCTGAAGATTTGGCGCTGTGAGATTCTGCTTTTTCGACGGCTTTCTTCTTCTCCTCCTCAAGTTTTTCTATGGCTTTCTCGGCCTTGTCTACTGATTTTTGTAACTGTTTCTTATCGTCTCTCTGTTTCACAAGTTGAAGGTCAAAGGCCTTCTCTTGATCCACAGATTTCTCCCTTCGAGCTAAATCTTCCTCCACGATATCATCGAACCTCTTAATTAACCCTGTTAACTTCTCAACTGATGCATCTTTCTCTTTTATGGTTTCCTTGAGAACTTTATTCAAACCAGCGATCGTACCAACTAATCCTTCATTCTCCTTCCTGATCTTTTGGATTTCTTCATCTTTTTGCCTTAGTTCTTGTTGCGTTGCGGGGAGCTCGGACTTGACGATGTCCATGGGATCATCTCGCTCAGCAGGCGTACCGAGCAGTGCATTATCTATATCGCCACCCAGAGAGATGACTTTATCTTGAAGGTTAATTCGGCCGCGCCTGCTCTCAGAGAGGCGACGTTGTAGCTCGTTTACGAGTGTCTTTCCTTGCTGTTTTTGTTCTTCGATTTTGGATTGTAGGTGAGAGATATCGCGGTGGTAGACTTCTCGAAGCGATGAATAGGAGGACTTCACTTCTTGAAGATTGGCGATTTCTTGTTCCTTTTCTAGGAGTTGGATATGTAGGGATTGTGCTTCGGGCACGGTTTTGGGCGAGATTTGGAGTGAAATGTCCCTCTCGGGTTTGATGTTTGAGATCTTTTCGCGGAGGGATAGTACTTCGTTTTGTGAGGCGGTTAGAGAGCTGAATTGGGCTTCGAGGCTCGATGTCAGGTCTTGGATTGTAAGTTCTTGCGTCTTGATGATGGATTTGAGCTCCTCAATTTGACTGTCTTTTTCTTTTGTTGTATCTTGAGACTGGCTCTGTGCTGCTAGCAACTCTTGTTGGGACAGAACCAGTAATTCATGTTGAGAGTTCAGTTCGGTTATGTGGTCAGAGAGCCTATTGATCTCTGCATCTTTTGTCAAGATATCGTGTGCATATCCTTGAGCTTGTTCGTTATCCCTTTCTGCTTCTTCTTCCAGTCTTTGTTGCAATGCAACAAGCTGCTCTGAATCTGCTTTTGCTTTCCCCAAAAGAGACATTCGTTCAGCTTCTGACTCCGTAATTTGCCTGGCAAAGACGCTAATTTCTTCTTGCTGTTCCTTTACTTTCGTCTCTAAATCATCGAATTTCGTTATTTCCAATGACGAGCTATATCCTCCTGCAACCAGATCATTATACCTCTGCTCTAAGTTGTCGTATTTCTCCTTCATATCTCTCAATTCATCCTCCTGTCCAACCTTCGAGTGTAAAGTTCGTGGACTTACAAGAAAAACATTCGGATTTTCTGGGTCCTCGGAATGGGGGTCGGCAGCGTGAAGGGGAGTGCTAAAGAAGTCAAAATCATACGTTCCATCAGACCGCAAAGCGTACCCAATTTGATGACTTTCGGACTCATTCGCTTGAGCAATCTCGAGTTCTTTTTCCAGATTTTCCTTTTCTCTAATCACCATTTCCAATTGCGTTCGTAGTTGTATCAATTCTTCGCGGTGGATTGTACTTTCAAGATTGCCGATTTGCTCCTTGAATCCGCCTGAGCCTTCGATTTGGTAGTATAGATCTGCAACTTCCTCCTCGAGTTCCTTGATGCGAGGCATTGATGGGGTTCTTTCGGGATTATAAAGGAGGATTTGGTCATGGATTTGTTCTGTGTCTTCTGGACCTGGCTCTTGAGGTCCTTGGGATAGCAAATTCAGGAGCTCAGATTCGTGTTTCTCGTCGTCCAGTGCTGTTTTTCGGGCTTCTTCTTCCAACGCGGCGAGTTGTGCAAGCGAGTCTTCCTCCTTCTCCTCAAGCTCTCCATGATATTCGACCTCGTCGGGTAATTGTCCCTCGTTTTCTTGTTCTTGTGTATAAAAGTCGTCATCTCCAACCTGGCTTACTTCATCATTTGTGTCGTCTTCATCGTCTGATGCGTAAAGGGCTTCCTCCAATTCCGCCTCTAGATCTCCTTCAAGGTGGTCGTCGTAATCCTCCATATCAACATTAGACTCATCTGAGTCAAGTTGAGAACCCATAATGATTGATGGCCAAAGGAAGAAAATAAGAAAATATCGATGAAAGATTTATTTGCGTTAGCTCACTATTTCATGGCGGTAATTTTCCACAGGATAAGAAACAATAAAGAGACTACTTGGGAAATCTTGGTGGGCACCTGGGTATGTTCTGAACAAAGATACTCGCCGGATCCGATATGGCGGAAATTGATTGCAGGCGAGACAGAGCACAAAGCAGCCCAAACTTACAGCCTGGAATGCTTTCAGACAAACCCATTGCACCGTAGGTTTGCTTCGAGATGTCTGACACGGGACCTTTTCAAGATGAAAAATATTGCTAGTGCGGCAAAAAACAAAAACCATGAAAACAACTGGAAGGGGATAGTCAGGTAGTCCATAGGTGAGAGTTTCTTGCCGGTAGCCAGAAGGGTTTTGGGGAAGAGGCCGATCATTCCTGGAGCTTATTTCGCTACTACCTACGCCGATGCCGATAAGCAAACACTCTTGAAATGTCCAGTTGCACTTGCAATAAAGTCCTATGGTAGATGCTCTTTGATACGAGCATTGTTTTCTGTTTGGAAGATGAAGCAATGTAAAAGACGGGAAACTGCGGGGGGCTCGCCAAGCCTAACCCCTCCCTTGATGCGATCCCAACCTCCTGGATTGTTTCGACATCAGTAGTATTTCATGGAAGCAGATTCCACCAGTAGTAGCATTCATCTTTATTAATTCTCTCCTAGGTAGGTAAAGTATGAGCACTCCATTATCGTGATATCACTGCTAACATCTTTGGAATTGCCAGTTCAAATATGTCGATGAAAAGGCGCACGATCGTTCCTGATGCATTCAGGTTTCGCGAAACCTCCCCCGGATCTAAACAGAGTACCAGACCGCTGCTCATTAGGAAATGGTAGAACCACAAAGATGTTCATATATGCTGAGCCCCGGGTATCACCAAATATTTGGTTTTCTCACGCTTTCCTATGGATCGTGGATCTACTCCCCACGGGAATCCGTTTTCTGAAGGGTATACCCTATCTAGTCCATTGAACTACACCCAACGGAACAAGAATAGCCTAAATTCCGCAGACAAAATCACACCAGACAACCACCAAGCCAACCCCCCAGCCAAAAGGGCAAGAAGCAACCAATCCCTAAACTTGACCTCAAAATACGCTCTGATGTCCCACCCAGAAACCTCTGATGACGCAATTGTAGCATCTAGGTCCCTTCTCTGTAAAGCAATTGAGCTCGAAGATAACCAGCCCAAAAAACTTGCCCTCATAGACCTACTCAACCTCTTCCGGGATTACACCGAGGGAAAACCTCTTGAAAACACAATCANCCTTCTCTGTAAAGCAATTGAGCTCGAAGATAACCAGCCCAAAAAACTTGCCCTCATAGACCTACTCAACCTCTTCCGGGATTACACCGAGGGAAAACCTCTTGAAAACACAATCACCACTCTTACGAATTCAGTCAACAATCTAGAGGACATTGCAAAGCGTCTTCCTAAAACAAGCTATGCCTCTGTAACCGCGAACAATCAACCAACCATAGACAACAGCACTCAAAGCCTTATCGACGCGCAACTCAACCATACCCCTCCCCAGAAAACAGACCAACAAAAGAATAGAGATGCCCGTAAGAAAGCGAATAAGGAGAGAAAGGAAGCAATAAAAGCCCAACGACTGATTCTCATCGAAGACTACCTCCAACCATTTGGAGGAGACCTACAGCCACTCACTCTCC